TTCGTTTGAAGCAATCTCTAAAAAGAACTTTGACGGACAACTTGGAAAAGACAATCTCCTGGGACCCTTTCAGCTATAAAATTCTATAGTGGCCAACTCTTGATAAATGGGATAGTCTCAAATTATTTTTATCATAAAAATATTAGTGATTTCAGTTTTATGAATTTAGTAATAATGTTTTCGATAGCAGATCTGATGTGAAAAACAGTAGCCCATGGCTACAAGTATGTGTGGAGTGTGGGTGTGGGGGTCTGTGCTTGTGAGGCTTCTGTCCACTTATTTGCATGGATGTATATTTCTAAGTGTGTGTCATCACCTGCCAGGTCATCCTTTTTTTTAAAATATTTGTTTATTTATTTTTCTGTGCTAGGTCTTAGTTGAGGCATATGGTATCTTGTTCCCTAACCAGGGATGTAGCCCCAGTCCCCTGCATTGGGAGCGTGGAGTCTTAGCCACTGGACCACCAGGGGAATCCCTGCCAAGTCATTCTTTTTTTCTCTTTAATATTTAGCTATTTATTTGGCTGCACTGGGTCTTAGTTGTGGCATGTAGGATCTTCAATCTTTATTACAGCACATGGGATCTTTTAGTTTCGGCATGTGAACTCTTAGTTGTGGCAGGTGGGATCTAGTTCCCTGATCCCCCAGCCTCCTGCATTGGGAGTGTGGAATCACTAGCCGCTGGGCCACCAGGAAAGTCCCTGCTGGGTCATTCTTCCATTTTCTCTCTCTCTCTGTTTCCCTCCCACCCACCCCACCCCACTCACAAATATTACTCACCCCATGCCACATTCAGCAAGCTCCTACTCTTAGCTAGCTGTCAAGAATGAAAGCAACCCAGATAACTTAGGGAGTCATGATTGATATCAAATCAATGATATACATACATTTTTGTTTGATAAGTGAGGTAGCTTATATTAACTAATAGATTAATAAATGTGCTTCTCAACCAACTTTGTCCTCGTCTAGTCCTGGTACCTGAAACTTTGTTTTATACTTATTCTTTATTTCCTTCAACAACTTATTTTGAAGATTTAAAGTATACCAAAAAGTTGAAAAAACTTTACAGTCAGCATCTGTCCCACCACCTAGTTTGCAGTATGAATATTTGACTGTATTTGTTGTATCGAGTCTGTGCATCTTTTTATACTTCTGTCCACTCCTCAGCCCATCTTATTTTTGGAAGCATTTTAGGGTAATTGCATACATCAATACATGTCCTCCTAAATATTTCAATATGCACATTGTTCAGAGTTCCATATTCGTTTTTTGGTTTTTGGCCACATCACATGGTCTGTAGCAGCTTAGTTCTCCAACCAGGGACTGAACCTGAATGATGGCAATGAAAGTGCCAAGTCCTAACCACTGGACCACCCGGGAATTTCTAAGAGTTCCATATTTGTTTAGTTCTTCATGTAGAATTTCCAGGCAACAAAACGTACAAATCTTAAGTGAACATCCTCTGAGGTTTGAAAAGTGCTTACCACCTATTAACCAAAACCCCTTCAAGGTATAAAATGTTGCCATAGCCCACAAGAGTACCTCCCTGGACCCACCATACCTGGAGGCGACTGGTGTTCTGATTTTTTCTCCACGTTATATTTGCTTTGCTTGTTCTAATACTACATTTAAAGGACTTGTACAGAATGCACTCATTTGTGTACAGCTTCTTTAACTCCGTCTAACACGGAGATTCACTCATGTTCTTGCTTGTATCAGTAGTTAATTCTTTCTATTGGTAAGTAGTAGTCCATTGTATGAGGATACCACAGTTTTATATTTTTTTATTCTCATGTTAGTGGACACAGAGTCTAATTTTCAGCAATTATGAATAAAGTCACTATGAAATGTTCATGTACAAGTCTTTTTTGTAAGCATATTTTTGATTTTTGCCTTGTTTTGGCCACACTGCACACATGCGGGACCTTAGTTACTTGACCAGGGGTCGAACCTGTGCCCCTTGCAGAAGTCTTATGCACTGGACTGCCAGGGAAGTCCCATATTTGCCTTTAAAGATGATATATTCTGATTTATATTACTTATAAAAGTAAAATATGCAAAATATAGAGAATATATAAAATCATAGTGAAGAAAAATGAAAAGTCATAATTATTGCCCAGAATTTTATGTAACTGAAATAAGTATGATCTCTCAACCTAAAGAAGTATTTCCTCATGGTGGAAAGGCACCAGCAGACATGTTCAGACCAGGCCACATGTTCAGACCAGACCATCATTAGGTCATGACGTTTGCCTTCTCAGCTGTCCAGAAGCAGAGATTCACAGAGGACAGTGTCTTGTGCATGACTGTCCCCAGAGTCAAGGATGGTGCCAGTGCCAGTTCAGTGACCAGGGACTGGTCACTGACTACTCAGCAGGATGGCAGGCACTTAGACAAAAGTGCCTTGACTTTCTCTCCTAAAGGCACAAACATTGCCTGTTACAAGAATTGACACACTCGACAATTACCTTCAGAAAGTTCATCTGTCCTGGTGAGGGACAATGCCAGAGGACCAACGTTCCTTTGGCCTGTGAGTATAAAGAGGTAGAACAGAGGTGCCACTGTAGGCACCAGCCTGAACTGATTGCTCATCTCAGGTCTGCTTCTGGGGAACCTGGAGTCCCTGAGGCTAGTTTTCTCTGGGAAATGAGGGTTAGATGCCTAGATGGCCTCTTAGGCTTCATCTAGATCTGGGATGAGTTATGAGCTATCCAGCCTCTGGATTCAGGAATTTTTCTAAATGCTACTTCATGTCTCCATGTGAGTGCTTCCCAGTGCTTGTTCCTTTTGGCCTGGTTATGTCTCAGGACAGAGGGGTATCCTGTAGGGGTACCCCATTGCTAGAAACCACCGGTACGTGAGCAGAGAGATGCAGATATATGCACATACAGCTCTAGGTTAAAGATTGGCTGAGTTAGTAAAAAGACTATGTTGACAAACCAGCACTGTGCCAGACACATACATGATAGATGCCTAGGTGTTGAATCTGTAAATTAATGGCTAGATGGATGAATGACCAAGAGAGTAAAGAACAAATAAATGAATGGATGACCACAGAAGAATGTGAGATGTGGGGTCCTGGTCAAAGCAAGAGCAGTCAGTGTGTGATGCTGACAGCACGCACGGGGGAGAGAGAAGAATGGCTCATAGAGTCCTATCACAGCTGCCTTGTAGGGACATGGCAGTCACCTTGTGTTCATCTCAAGCAGCATTCAGGAACCACTGGTGGATTCTGGAGGGTGATACTGCCTGCTTCCCAGTGTATGAGTGTGAATTGTTATATTGCCATAACAACATACCATAGACTGGGTGTTTCAACAACAGAGGTGTATTAATATTTTCTCGCAGTTCAGGAGGCTGGACAGCCCACGATCAAGGTGTTGGCAGGGTTGGTCTCTGGTGAGGGTTTTCTGTGTGGAGCAGACATCTGGCTTCTCACTGTGAACTCCCATAGCCTTTCTTTTTGTGCATGCAGATGGAGAGTATGTGTTTGCAAGCTCCATTGTATCTTTTCTTATCAGGACATTAATCCAGGGCCTCGTGACCTCATTTAGCCTTAATTATACCTCTTAAAGACCCTGTCTCCAGCTAGACTCTCATTGGGTTTAAGGCTTCAACATCTGAAGTCTGGGAGGGGGAACATTTCGGTACATCGCAGAGTGGTTCGGGAGCCTAAGGACTTGCACATCAGCATGAAGCCAGGTGGGAAGCTGAGCTTGGAACTTCTGCATTTCCCGTGGAGGGAATCCCTGGCTGCTGACCAGTGTGGTAAGACTTTGATAACACCACTGTAACAATACTTCCACAGCATTTTACAAAGTGCCATCAACTACACAGCTACCCAGTCTTATTTCATTTTCCTGGCAAATCTATGAAGTAGGTCTTGTGCCCATTTTGCAGATGAGAAAAGTGAGCAGGAGAAGTGTCTGGCCCAGAGCCACATAGTCCGTTAGTGGTGAAACAAATCCCTCTGCTCCAACTCATGTTGCAGTGCTCAGATCTTCCCAGTGAGGGGCTCACAGACTTCCTTTCCACTCCCAAGCTTTCCTTTTCAGGATATATTTAGGAGGCTTTGGGAATTCTGTTACCTGTGACATGAAGCATCTAGACCTGGTGCATTGCAGATACACTAAAAATTACCTCAGGGGCTTCCTTGATGGCTCAGTGGTAAAGAATCTGCCTGCCAACACAGAAGACACAGGTTTGAGCCCTGATCCAGGAAGATCCCGCATGCCGCAGAAGCAGCTAGGCCCATGCACCACATCTATTGAGCCTGTGCTTTAGAGTCCAGGAGCTGCAACTACTGAAGTCTGAGTGCCCTAGAGCCTGTGCTCTGCAACAGGAGAAACCGCCACTGTGAGAAACCTGTGCACTGCAACTAGAGAGTAGCCCCTGCTCTCCACAATTAGAGAAAAGCCCACACAGCAATGAAGACCCAGCGCAGCCAATAAATAAATAACCTCAGGCTTCCTTTGTGGCTCAGCTGGTAAAGAATCTACCTGCAATGCGGGAGACCCAGGTTCGATTCCTGGTTTGGGAAGATCCTTGGAGAAAGGAAAGGCTACCCACTCTTGAATTCTGGCCAGGAGAATTCCATGGACTGTATAGTCCATGGGGTTGCAAAGAGTTGGACATGACTGAGCAATTTTCACTTTCAAAAATTACATCACAAGCAAAAATTAGGTAAAGGCATTCCTAATGAACTTCAGTTCAGTTCAGTCACNTCTGAATGTTGAGTTTTAAACCACCTTTTTCACTCTCTTCTTTCACTTTCAAGAGACTCTCTAATTCTTCTCCCCTTTATGTCATAAGGGTGGTGTCATCTGCATATCTGAGATTATTGATATTTCTCCTGGCAATCTTGATTCTAGCTTGAGCTTCATCCAGCCCAGCGTTACTGACATAATGAAAAGAGAAAACTTTCCCTGAGTTTAGTCATCTAACGATTTGTATTTTGCTTTTAAAGTGCTGAAATTAAACCTGTCTTATTCTCTTGGTCAGTACAACAGGGTTTGGATTCCTGATTCTGAAGAAGTTTGGAAGTCTGCTGAAATAGCAAAGGACTATAGAGTTGGTGACAAAGTCTTGCAACTCCTGCTGGAGGATGGAACGGTGAGGGTCCTTGGTCCTAGCTACCTTGATGTATAAAGGAGGAACTGTGGGGTGTGTACAGGAGGGACAGGCAGGTGTTGCTGTGGGTGCAGCCCACGGGTGGGCACATGAGGGGGCAGCTGGTACTGTGGATCCAGCTGTGTTCTTACACCCCTCCCCACCAGCCCTGCCCCCACCCCACACTACCTTAAGGTATCAAGTGTCCTACATCAGCTGAGCCTATCTATGGAGTGAGAAGCAGTGGACAGGTCCGTGTTCTGCGCTGCCTTTCTGGGGATTCAGCAGTGTTGGGAGGATGCTGAAATAAAGATTTTATTTTGGTTTTATGAGTCTCAGCAGAGACTGGGTGAAGATGAGAAACTTGGAGAGGAAGTTATTTGAGTCATTGAGCTATAAAGACATTTTACTGGATCCATAGCTAGGCTGACCTTAGGTTTTTAGAATCAAGTCTCTGGGTGCAGAGCTGGACAAAGGATTTTCATGATCTATCTGGATGTGGGAGTTAGTCTGGGGAATATCATGTGAATATTAAAGTGCTTGGATTTTCAAGGTATGGAAATGTCTGTTAGAGACAGAGCACGATATTGCCCATCAGTCAGACTGTCCTGGATTCGGGGGTCATTTCCTGAGATTCTGGAAAGAGAGACAAACACAGCGGTTTAAAAAGGGCACGTGATCTAGATTCAGACTATCTGGATTCAAGTCCTGCCACAGCCACTCACTAAGTCTGAGCCCATGAGTCCTCACCTTCGTTACATGTCAGCTGAAGTTAGCAGCAGCAGGACCTCACAGGACTGCTGGAGACCAGGTGAGGTCATGCTTGGGGGTGTGTGCAGATGCAGGGGACGAGGCCGAGATGCTGTTCTTTCCACTTAGCCTTTCCTTTCCCTGAAGATACTCCTGGGGGGCAATTGTTGAGCCTCAGTCATCTGATTAGGGATCAGATGGCTTTGGAGAGAAAAATCTCAGGGCGGCAGTTGCAGTGGCAGTGTGTTGCTTTCGTAACATGAGCAGGGCTTCAGGTGGCCGCATTCCTGGCCCTGAATCAGCTGCCCGGACAGAGGAGGAGGGGGAGAGGCAGGTAAGGTGACAGGCGGCCACACTGCGCTTTATTTAACCCATTGTCTATACCATGAAGGACAAAGCCTGCTTTGTGTAAGAAAATGTCACCTCTGTCTCCAACAGTCAGGCTTATGTTCTTCACATTCACATTCCCCCTCCCCCAGAGACTGTTCCATTCATCTTTCCCTCTGTTTCTTTTACACATAAAATGTACACGTGTGCACACACACACAGTGGCTCAACTGGAAAAGGAGGCTGTTGATTTAAAGCAGATAACAGAAAAACTCAGGAAAAGTAAAAAATTATATGAGTAGCACTTTTCTTTATCTTATTCTTGAAAGTGTGTAGGTTAAGAATAGCCTGCTTGGGGCAGGTCCATAAACAAAACTGCACTGATAACGAGCAGGCAGCTGCTCCGGGGACCTGTGCCCAGCTGTCCTGGAGTGCCCCGAGCTGCTCTCCTTATGGAAAATGGCCCAACACATCAAACCCCCTGCCAGCGCTGACGGAGGCATCACAACACAGGCTTCAGAGTCAGCCAGGCCCATGTTAACTGTGTGACCTTGGGCAAGGAGCTTAACCTCTCTGGTCTCTCTCTTTAACTCTTAGTTTGGGATGCCATGCCCTCCTTGGAGAGCAGTTTTGAGGATCAAGTGGAAACCAGTGAAGAGTACTTGGCCCAGGGCCTGCAGAGCAGGCTGTTGCTAAGGGGGCAGCTGGGTCTCCTTTTGCACCTTGTGCCTTCCTGGGAAGGTGGGAGGGAAGCAAACCTGCTGGGTGACTTTGCTCAAGTCACTTCCCCAAGCTGAGAAATGAAAGCTCAGGAAGGTAGAACAGGTGGTAAAAAGGGCCCTGAGTGCTCTGACACTACAAGACCCACAAGACCTTTATTCTGCTCAGGCAGTTACTTCCGGAATACTCACTAGTTAAATCCCACGGAAGAGGGGCCATCCTGGGCCGGTTACTCGGTCCAGGCTGAGGTTGATAGACACGGGCAGCCTGCCGCAGGAGACGTGTGCCCCTGGGAACACAGGCAGCTGCAGGCAGGAGTCACCTGCGCAGGGAGCTGCCCACGGAGACTCACCCACATCGGCTCCTTTGGACAGTCCTCACCACAAGGTCGGCCTCCAACAGAGATGCGGCAACCTTAGAGCTTCAAGGGACCTTAGATCACTGAGTCATTTAGCAAAAGAACCTTATTTTGAAATGAAAATTTTCGTGGCACCCAGAGGCTGAATCACATACAAGTAGAGCCCCTGTGTCAGAAATCGGACAGGGTGCCCAGGTCCCTGGCCATATGGCTTCCCTGTCACCCCTCATTGAGGGCTCTGTAGCTCCGAGGACCCCCAACCCGGTCCATCTTGTCTTTTCACAGATGAGAGAAGGGAGCGCCAGAGAGGTTGAGTGACACACTCTAGGGCATACAGTCAATACCTTGATTCCCTGGCTCCCAAAATTCAGATTATTTTCTCACTGCTATAAATATATTTGTTTTCCAGAGTGCCAAAGAGGGGTAGATAGGAAAGAGGGCAGTGATTCAGCAGAAACACTCCAAATCTTTTACTTCTAGAGCTTTAATTTCATCTTTGTCCAAAGGAGCTGGATTATTCTATTGATCCTGAATGTTTGCCTCCACTTCGGAATCCTGACATCCTTGTGGGTGAGAACGACCTCACAGCCCTCAGCTACCTCCACGAGCCTGCGGTGCTCCACAATCTCAGAATTCGTTTTGCAGAATCCAAACTCATTTACACCTACAGCGGTAAGGAAAGCAATTCCAGGAGAGCAGGAATGACACTGAAATTTAATGCTTGCTGTCTACAGCATCCTGATTATGTTTTAGATTATGTTTACATTAGAAATGTTGACTTCTGTCAAAATGTGTAATCACATAGATTTCTATCTAAAAGATACAGACATCTGAATGTAGAATATCTGTTATAAAGTGAACTATCTAGGTGGGAAGAGTCTTCAACAAAAACTAAGATTGGACTACCAAGAAAAATGTATGTAGGTAAAGCTCATGTTTGAGTTTCTATTGGGTGTGATAAGTTTATTACTGGAGCAATATTATCATTATGTTTACACTGAGGATGGTAAGAGCCTCTCAGTTTTAGTGCATTGCCATCTGCCATCTTGTCTAACCTTAAGAATGGCCTAGAAATGTAGGTGATGTCATCAGAGAACTGAGATTCAGAGCATAAAGTGACCTCCCCAGAGTCACACTTCAGGTTTAATGAGTAGCTGAGCTGAAAGTTTCTCTAAAGACCTGAAGAGGTGACATCACTGCATCCAACATCTTTCCTCAGGAATCATCTTGGTGGCCATGAATCCTTACAAGCAGCTGCCGATATATGGAGATGCCATCATCCACGCCTACAGTGGGCAGAACATGGGCGACATGGACCCACACATATTTGCTGTGGCAGAAGAGGCATACAAGCAGATGGCCAGGTAGGGCTTCCTCTTATTCTCCCAATGCTCCTGCATTTGCTGGGCCCTCACAGTGGCAGGGAGACAGCTGGCCCAGTCTCATTAAAAGTGACCCTCAGGGACTTACCTGATGGTCCAGTGGTTAAGAATCTACCTTGCAATGCAGGGGATGTGGGTATGATCCCTGGTCTCGGAACTAGACATGTTGCAGAACAACTAAGCCCACTGCTACAACTAGGGAGTCCATGCACCACAAAGATCCTACATGCTGTTCCTAAGACCAACAGCTAAATAGTTATTTTTAAGTGACCATCAGACTGGAGGGGGTGCTTGGTAGAGCAGACTGACTTGTACCAAATAGCAAATGACTATTAGATATAGCTGACCTGTCTCCACCAAGTCTCCTGGTTTTACTTCTAGATAGTCCCGTCGGTCCAATTAATCTGAGAATAATCAATGCTTTTCTTGCAGTGTGTTTGGTTGGAAGAAAATTGATTTATTCTCCACTATGAGATGTTTAGGCTTTTTTACCCAGCCAGGTCAGAAGACTCTAATAATAAATGAGCACAGGTTTTAGCTGTAGGATATTTGAAGTTTTATGTTAATTTTGCCTCTTCTTTCTCATGTGGTATGTGAAGTTCTTATTTTGTTAGTGCAGGATGAGACACTGTGCACACACTCCCACATATCACCCTGAGTGCCCTCAAAAGAGCCCATGATGAGGATGCCCAAGCAGTGGTCAGACGACTGAGATTTGAAGCCATCCACCCAAGGTCACTCAGCAAGAGAAAGGCAGAGCTGGGATTTTCCCTCAGATTTCTAGATTCCATGTGTAATTTCTTTTCCTCATAACTATTCTGTTTGTCTTCAGCATCCTGATCTGTAAAAGGATCTTTGTAGGTCCTTACAGTTTGCAAAAGAACTTTCATAGACAGTGGTCTTGTTTGAGTCTGGGAACACCTCTGTGAAGTCTTATAAGCTGCCGTCAGTACCTTATTTCCAGATCAAGACTTGAGACACAGGACCTGAATCTGCTACTATTTACCAGCCCTGAGCTCCCTTAGCTTCAGGGTCCTCATCTGTGAGCTAGATGCTCAGTGACTTAAACAAGGTAGAAATGCATGATTCTCTCATGCAGAAAAGTCTGATGGGCAGTCCAGGACTAGCATGCCACCTCTACCAGTGGGTCATCAGAGACCCAGTACTTTCCAGCATCCTGATCCTTGGGGCAAGACCCACATCCTCAGAGCCAAGCTAGTGCTCAGCCCTCTTCTCTCTTTTCTAGGCTACAGAGTGTTCCAGGGAAAAGGTGTGTCCCTCCTGGTTAAGGAGCCCTCCCAGAAGCCCTACAGAGCACTTCTGCTCATAGCTTGTTGGTCGGGATCTACTCACATGACTGTGCCTAGCTGCAAGGGAAGCTGGGATATGTAGTCTTTTGTATGAGCAGCAACATGCCCACTAAGAACGGGAGCTTAGACCCTGAGGAGCATGGGGAGGATGACTATTGGGTCTAGAATGATCAATTAATAACCAATCACCTGGGACACTTGAACCCCATGTCCTTAAGCTCAGCAGGTATTCTCCATGCTCCAGTCAGGCCATGAAAGACTCTGAGACTCCCTCTTCTTTGAAACACATCAGAGGCTGGGAGACAGGCCAGCTTTGCTCTTGAGGACACCAGCTAGTCCAGAACCTGCCATCCCTACTCAGGTGCTATGACAAATGATGTTAATTCTCCCCCTTTCCTCAGCCCTGGATTAGCATGGAGACTCAGGAGCAGAGGGCAGCCACGCCTGACAGTGCCAAAAAGTAAAAGATCTTGAAGACTCGCCCCAAAATTGCCAATTACCTTGGCTTCTGCTGCAGCAAGTTTCCTTTCAACCCTAAAACATTATGGTTCTAGGATTTACCTTGGCCCCTGCAGGTCTCCAGGGCATCTGCAAGATTAGAATCTGTGTGCCTCAGAGCATATAGGACTACTCCTGGGTGTCAACAGCATGAGCTCATTGGAGCTTCAGAGCTCAGCCAGGTTCAAGCTTGAAGAGCCAGGTTCCCCTAGAGGCCTATCTAACTGCAATAGCATAACTGAACATGAAGCAGGTTCTTGTTAGACTTGTTGATACTACACTGGGAATCAGGAGAGCTGGCTTCAGTAACCCCAGAGTGTCATTCATGTCCTTAGCATCTCAACATCCTCTGTGGAACCAGGGACTCTCTCTCTAATGTCCTCTCCAGAGTTCCCAGGGAGGCTGTGGGTTCTGTGCATCACCGAGTCACTGTTATAGTCATCTGTAAAATGGATATACAGTATGTGGTTTAGGATTTTTGTAGGTTTAAATGAGAATCCTTGTAAATTATTCACCAAGACCCTGACACACAAGCAGTGCTAGGATGGCACTGTAATAAGGTTCTACCATCATCATCTTATGACGTGAAAAGTTTAGTGCTTTTTTTTAAGATCTCCATGTTATGTAACAGAGTATGTTGGCTTGTGGAGCACACGTTTCCAGGCACATCTCAATTAATTGCTCTCAAATAATGTCTTAAAAATGTTTTTATATTTAAGTGAAAGGAGAAAGGAGGTAACAGGCCTGAGACTGCTGTCCTTAGAGAATTACATGCAAGTTTGGCCCATGGTGAGCCTTTGGGAACTTGGATTTCAGGAGGGTTCATAGAATTTCCTAATTGCTGAGTAACAATTATGAGTGACTCACTATACCTAAACTATTTGTGTGAACAAGGTGGTTCAGGCTGAACAGCCGCTTTCCTTCTGGGCATCTGGAATTTTGGTATGTGATAGGAGAGGATACCTATGTGACCAGCCCCCAATAAAAACCCTGGACACTGAGTCTCTATTGAGCTTCCTGGGTAAACAATGTTTCCCATGTGCTGTCATAATTCATTGCTGGAGGAAGTAAGTGCATCCTGTGTGACCCCCACCCTGGGAGAGGACTCTTGGAAGTTCACACCTGGCCTCATCTGGACTCAGCCCATGCCCCATTGACCCTCGCTGATTTACTCTGTCTCCTTCTGGTGTAGTAAGTCTTAACCACGAGTACAGATGTGTGCTGAGACCTGTAAGTCCTCCCAGTAGATCACTGGGCTGGGACTGGCCTTGGGAACTCTCAGTACAGGGGACACAGCAGGAGGCAAAGTTGTGCATCTAGCAGGATCACAGAGAAAAAGACTAGAAGGAAATTCACTGGCATGTTAAAAAAGTTACTTTAGCATGATAAAACCAAGTCCCTTCTGACTTATCTGCATTTTTGTTAGTGCGCATATATTGCCTTTTTAATGGGAAGAAATGAACATTTAAAAAGAATTTTTAAAAAACCCTTTTGTTTGCCCTAGAAACAATAAAAACCAGTCAATAATTGTAAGTGGGGAGTCTGGTGCTGGAAAGACAGTGTCTGCTCGCTATGCCATGAGGTACTTTGCCACCGTCAGCAAGTCCAGCAGTAATGCTCACGTGGAAGACAAGGTCCTAGCATCAAACCCCATAACTGAGGTGGGTACCCTGTGGGGATGGGGAGTGGGGGCAGAGACGTATATATGGAGACGTGGGCTGGTTCATGTATGTAGGTTCATGTATAAAGGTGTTTCATCACGCTTTGCTTGATTGTGCTTTACAGATATTTCTTTTTGTTTTGTTTTTTTTTAAACTAAAGATTTATGGCAACTCTGTGTCAACCAAGTCTTATCAGCTCATTTTTTCAAACAGCCTTTGCGTATTTTTTGTCTCTGTGTCATGTTTTGATAACTCTCATGGTGTTTCAAACCCTCCACCAGCAAAAAGATTATGGCTTGTTAAAGGGTCAGATGATGGTTAGCATTTTTTTTGTTTTTTAGCAAAAAAATTTTTTAAATTAAGGTGTGTACATTGTTTTTTAGATACAGTGCTATTTCACAGTTAATACACTATATAGTACAGTGCAAACATAACTTATCTGCACTGAGAAACCAGAAAATTCATGTGACTTTTATTGTGACATTTGCTTTATTGCAGTGGTCTGGAACAAAAGCCATAGTGTCTTCAAGGTATGCCTGTATGTGGTCCTTTAAAGACCAAAGAAGTAAGGGCAGGAAAGAGCCAGGAAGTCTGTTCCCTGGTGTGATTTGTAGGAGACTAGAGCACGGATTGCTGGTTCCAAAGCTTCTTTGCTCTACCTGCTGGGCTAGAAGTTCTACTATCAGGATTTTAGGAGTCCCCCGTTTACATTTATATCCCAGGGGAAATTTCCTCAACCACAGACACAACTGGTACGCTGAGACCAGCAGTGTTCTCTAGCCAACCAACACCAACTTTCATAAGATGATTTTTAAACATTCAGGAATTTTTTTGCAAGTTATTTTTAAAGCCTTGGTAGCTTGAAATCAGTCATGGTGGAAATATTTACACCTTTCAAATTGGTAAATGTCACATATCCAGGCTCTTCCTCCTTCCTTCCCCAAGACTGACTCATTAGCACACCACTGACTTGGGCAAACATATGGGCAAGGCCACCAATGATGGCACCAAGGAGTAAGGAGAAAGCCTTCGAGGAAGAAGGAGCATCTGACAGCTCAGGGGAGAGGGAAATGAATCGCTTTGGATTTATTTGGAAGCATAGCAAATAGTTAAGACTGTTAGATTCTTAGACCTTTTCTTTCTGCGCTCTCGAATCAAAATCCCCAATGAATATTTATCAGACCACCTATTTTGTTCAAGTCATTATGCCTGATAATACAGGAAGTAAGGAAAAGATTAAGGTCCAATCCCCAAGTTTTAAGACTCCTCTAGCATAGCCTATTTTAAACTTAAATAGAAAGATAAATCACAACCCAAGATCGCAGTAAAAAGGTTGTCAAGAAACACTATGCTATTAAATGCCTGCAGGATAATATTGTGTGGCTGTTTCTTTAGGGTTGGTCTCACCTGCAGCTATAAGCTCCATGAAGGCAGGACCATGTTTACTTGGTTCATCTCTGCCTACCAAGCATGTGGACCATGGCAGGTGCTGAGTAAACATGTGTTGTCTGAAAGTATAATGACCTGGACAGGAGTGCAGTATTTGTGCATAAGAAAGATACTTCTGTATGTAGGGTGCCCAGGAAGGGAGAGGACAAGAGGAGAGACAGAAGTCAAGAGCAGAAGTAAAAAGCAAAAATCATGCTCAGTGTGGGAGGGATGGTAGAGGGCTGTCTTTTGGTTGAGTAGAAAGTTTGAGTAGGGAAGTGATAAGGGATAAGGACAAAAATAAAGGTTGGATGAAGGAAGTGGACTTTAAGCATCTCTAATATTTTAGGCCTAGATGAGTTGAGGCACTTTATATTGATACTATCTCATTTAATCCTCCCAACTCTGTCAGATGCATCCTTGTATTACAGATAGAGAAACTAAGACTTGGAAAGATGCTTGCTAGCGTCACACAGATAGTAAAAATGAACCTGGGGCCATGAAACATCAGAACTCATGCTTTCCCTGATCCTGCTCAGTGTCTATCAGTAAAATTGAGGAGAGCCTTGAAGTAAGATTGAGGAGATCCTCCTGCCCCCAATCCCTCCCAGCATCAGGTCTTTTCAAATGAGTCAGCTCTTCGCATCAGGTGGCCAGAGTATTGGAGTTTCAGCTTCAGCATCAGTCCTTCCAGTGAACACCCAGGACTGATCTCCTTTAGGATGGACTGATTGGATCTCCTTGCAGTCCAAGGGACTCTCAAGACTCCTCTCCAGCACCACAATTCAAAAGCATCAATTCTTCAGCTTTCTTCACAGTTCAACTCTCACACCCATACATGACTACTAGAAAAACCATAGCCTTGACTAGACAGACCTTTGTTGTCAAAGTAATGTCTCTGTTTTTTAATATGCTATCTAGGTTGGTCATAACTTTCCTTCCAGGGAGTAAGCATCTTTTAATTTCATGGCTGCAGTCACCATCTGCAGTGATTTTGGAGCCTGAAAAAATAAAGTTTGACACTGTTTCCACTGTTTCCCCATCTATTTCCCATGAAGTGATGGGACCAGATGCCATTATCTTAGTTTTCTTAATGTTGAGCTTTAAGCCAGCTTTTTCACTCTCCTCTTTCACTTTCATCAAGAGCATTGGAAAAGACCCTGATGCTGGGAGGGATTGGGGGCAGGAGGAGAAGGGGACGACAGAGGATGAGATGGCTGGATGGCATCACCGACCCGATGGACATGAGTTTGAGTAAACTCCGGGAGTNCTACTCAAAATAGACCAAGTTGTTACTTTTTTTGTATTAGGAAGAGAATGGGATCAGAGCTAGTGAGGTGGGGTTTAAGAAAAGATTCTTCTGTCCATAAAATGGAGAAAATTATCTTCATTTTGACGCAGAAGGAGAGAAAGAATAAGCCTTGCATTGCAAGGAGTTTCTTTAAAATTTCAACTGGTACAAATTACATTATTCCCGTTTTATAGAATGTTTTCGTTTATATCATTTTCTCTGAGGTGGTTATTTGGAAGGCGATCTTGGACCACCAGGTTGGGTCACGGCAAAAACACAGGTAGATGTCCATATCCTTGAGATCAGATTAACCATCTAAAACCCTCTTAGGGAAAACCTCACATTTTCATTTGTAAAGGTCTGGTGTGATTTCAGGATTCCTCTTTATTTTACAGTCAGAAAATGAACGAAATTACCACATTTTCTATCAGCTTTGTGCATCTGCACAGCAGTCGGAATTTAAACATCTTAAATTAGGTACGTAATGCAGGGTGTGTAGAAGAGTCTCTTTTTTGTGTAAGAATTTAAATTCTAGGTTAATCTCTTTTTCTTATAATAACATCACTTTAAAAAAGTATTCTGTCCAAAAACATAAGATCCTTCAGTTCCAAGAGTGGAATTGATGCATTTAACTAAGAAGATAGATTAGTTAGGGGCATATTGGTCCAGGAATTAGGTACCCTTCAACCCCAGGGTTCTTTTCAAAGCTCCAGAGCAATGGAGATCATCCAGCTAGAATCACCAGAAGAAGGCTTCTGACCACTGGGACTTACTGACCTAAGTCCTCAAATTTTATTATCTGAATTTCCTTGGATGGTCATTTTTCTAAGGAATGACATATTTCCCTTTCTCCTGAGACAGAGTATCTATATCATAATTTGAACATTCTTGAAAATTCAAAATCATTATTAATTGTAATCATAATTAATGAGCCACTTTTCCTTTAGTGCAAACAGCCCAACTCCTATGGTACCTCAGCTTTCCTGTCTTGGTCACCCGGCCTGAGTTGGTAGATAGAATCGTCTAGTGTATTGGAGTTGAATGCATACTCTCTAATCCTGAAGAATTTGCTTGCACTTGTAGAATCTAAGCTTCTTCAGATGTTATATAATGATAGTATCCATGCCTTATATGCCAAACAGAATGCAAATAGTGAACATGGAAGGGCTTTCTGAAGTGTCACTTACTGTACAAATTTAGGTGCACATCTGGTTATTATCTTGACCATGGTGATGTTTTTATAACAGTATACATATATCAAAACTCATCAAGTTTTCTACAGTTCATCATACATTGAATGAACCTCAGTAAAGCTATATGAAATTGTTAGGTGTGGGAACAAAAACCATGTGCTCTGGAGTCAAGCCTGCATTTTACTTCTCGCTCTGCCACAGTCACTATTTGACTGTGAGTGGGCCATTTCACTTTTCTGAGCCTCAATGTTTGAGTCAGCAACGTAGAATTCTAAGGAGTCAGTGGAAAAACATTATGAAGTGCTTAATACAGCACATTAAGTGTTAACTGCTCTTCTTGCTTCTGATAAACATGTATGTTCACCTTCTTGTGTCATAAACATCAGTATCTTTTGATTTCAGGGAGTGCAGAAGAATTTAATTATACGCGAATGGGAGGCAGTACGGTCCTTGAGGGTGTGAATGACAGAGCTGACATGATAGAGACTCAGAAGACCTTCACACTGCTGGGTGAGCGAAAATATCCTATCCCAGGAGTGGCCATCTTCTCTAAGAACGCGGGGATGCCCAGCATGCATGTGTTCTGAAGACATCTAATCAATTCCAAGTTTAGGATGTTGCTGTTGTGTTAGTTGCTCAGTTGTGCCCAACTCTTTGTGACCCCATGGACTGTAGCCCACCAGGCTCCTCTGTCCATGGGATTCTCCAGGCAACTGGAGTGGGTTGCCATTCCCTTCTCCAGGGGATCTTCCCAACACAGGGATCAAACTCAGGTCGCCTGCTTTGCAGGTTGAATCTTTTACTGTCTGAGACACCAGGGAAGCCCAATTTTAGGATGAGTCAATCAAAAAACATATTTAGAGGCCAAAGGATCTAGATTGTGCGTTTCCCTTGACAGATCTAGAAATCAACTCCTTTGCACTCAGGCTCGCTGGCTTACTGTGAGAAGCATGAGCCATAAACCCTGTGGATGCTCATAAGCACTTCCAGGCTGACTACAAAGAAGACAGGTGAAAGGAGAGGTCTGAATCAGTTTAGAGGTGTGATGTGGAGCCTACTCGGCCTTGACAGGTATCCTGATGATCATGGTAAAATAAGGGACACCTATGTGGAGTTCACTATGCACCAGGCACTATTCTAAACACTTTTTTACCTGTATTAATTCATTTAAACCTTATAACAACCTTATTAGGTAGATGCTTGTTTTTTTTGTTTTTTTTTTGTTTTTTTTTTGCATTTACAATAGGAAAACTGAGGCATGGAGATAGTAAGTGATTTACCCAAGGTTTGGGTGGCTAGTAAAGAGCAGAACTGGAATTTATACTCAGGGTCTTTAGACATATCATTTGTATACAGAAAACCTGATCTTTAATTGCTAAGATGCTGACCCAGGTGAAGTAGGTACTCTTCAGTTTTTTCCCACCTTTCCTTTCCCACACGGACCTCAATTTTGAAAAGATGACAAGTGATATTCATAAAAATAGTCATTCACTTTCCCATTTTGTGTTAGTCTAGACATACATGCAACACTGCCAGTCAAACCTTATGATCAATGTGAGACTATAGACCATTTTTACATCTTACAGAAAATATTCATGTCTTATTAGCCTTAGCTGTTTTCATTGTTGTGGCTTAGTTGATGATATTTGAATGCAAAAAGCAAAGAACTTGAGGTTAAATATATCAGGGTAATAGGCAAGATGAGCACAGTTGTATAATTGAGAATGAACACAAGATGGTTTCCTAAGCACAATTTCCATCCAATTCTGCTTTTTCAAAATTGCTTTAGGATTCCCCTGGTGGTCCAGTGGTTAAGACTTTGCCTGCCAATGCAGAGAATATGGGTTCAATCCCTGGTTGGGGAATTAAGATCCCACTTTCCTCACAGCCAAAAAAACAAAATATAAAATGGAAGCAATATTGCAACAAATTCAATAAAGGCTTGCTCCTTACCCTTTGGGTCCTTACCCAAATTCAATAAAATGGTCCACATGGAAAAAAAAAATCTCAAGTGACCGCTTTAAGAAGGGCAATGTAGACAGTGTCTAATAATGTGATCCTGGCTTCCAGGGCTTCCCTGGTGGCTCATAATGGTAAAGCGTCTGTCTGAATACTGGAGACCTGGGTTCGATCCCTGGGTCGGGAAGATCCCCTGGAAAAGGAAATGGCAACCCACTCCAGTACTCTTGCCTGGAAAATCCCATGGACAGAGGAGCCTGGTAGGCTGCAGTCCATGGGGTCACAAAGAGTCGGACACGACTGAGCGACTTTAATAATGTGATAAGCAGTTTTGGTACTTATTAACGTTTTCTTAAAATAATAATCATGATTTCAGTCTCTGTGTAACGTGCTCCACTGAGAGGCAGCACGAGGAGGGGACGGGCAGCCTAGCTCTGGCAGGGCTCCCAGGGAGCCTGTCCTTCCTTCCCACCTCTGTAATGTGTCACCTCACAGTGAAATGATGCAGGCAAAAAGAAGAGGCTTTGCAATCAATTAAGCAAGAATTAAAAGCCAAGTTGGCAGGACTCTGGAGGTTACCCTCTCTAAGACTCAGTTTCTTGATCTGTAGAATGGCTGTATTCCTTACCCACAGGACACTCGTGACAACTGGTAGGGAAATGTACGCAGCACCAGGCTGAGCACACAGCAGATATTTGCTAAATGCTCCTGCCTGCTTTCTGTCTCTATGTACTATACCCTGTCGTCCAAGTCCTAACCATCCTTTGAGCAAAACCATCCTCCTCCAGGAAGCCCTCCCCAATTATTGGAAGTAACAGCAGCAGTTTTTTCCACTTTATCACATACATTAGATCATTTTACAAATGTCCACGCCAGCAAGGCCAGGACTAACGTGGGACAAGAGAGGCAGCTGGGGTGCAGAGTTTAAGGAGTCCTTGCTCGGAGGATGGCATGAGTGCAGAGCTGGCCGTGGGCACCTTGCTTGTGTTACCATGGCCCCAGCCCTGCACACCAGGCCTAGATGTTTTAGGCAAAGCCTCCAAATTTTGTGGGGAATAAGTATAGCAGTCCGCTGCCTCCAGTGGCTGATAAAGGAGATGGCTGCCCGCTGTGCTGTGTGAAGGGGGCTGGGAAGAAGGAGGCAGAGCTGTTCTGCTTCTCTCCTTTCTGGGATTTGTCTTAGAGAGTGACTGGGCATGACTGGCAGGGCGACCATAGAATCTGCACCTGCTTACTTCCCACCAAGTCTTGTTATTTAAACACACTAGCCTGGTGACGTCCTTACTCTGATGGCCTGTGCTTGGCCTCACAGTTTAGCACTTAATTATCTATTGTCATGAATTTGCTCATGTTTTTTCCCATGCATCATAGAATAGGTCTGTGGCCTCACACCTCCATGAGTGCTAAGTCACTTCAGTCATGTCCGTCTCTTTGCGACCCTATGGACTGTAGGTAGACCTCCAGGCTCTTCTGTTTTTGGGATTCTCCAGTCAAGAATACTGGAGTGGGTTGCTATTTCCTCCTCCAAGGTATCTTCCCCACCCACGGATCAAACCCACGTCTCTTGTGGATCCTACATCGGCAGGCAGGTTCTTTACCACTAGCACCACCTGTCACAGGTCTGTTGTTATCTCTGGGCATCAGTTTCCCCATCTGTACACTGGCGCAGCAATAAAAATAGTCATTTCAGTTATTTATTTCTGTACTCCAAATCTTGGTAGCTTAAAATGACTATTTTTATAACATATGACATAATTCATCTGTTCCTCTATTACAAACATTCAGGTTATTACTGGATTATTGTCATTAAGATGAAACTTTAATGAACAATTAATTCCATTTAACAAATAACCATTAAAACTGAAAACAATCCAGCACTATTTTAAATGATCTTAACTATGAGTGCTACACTTTGAGAAAGTGACTTATGCCAGTGGCTCTCAATACTGGAATATCAGGTCACCTGAGACTTTTCTTTTAAATTCTAACATCTAGATATCACCCCAGACCTATTAAATCTGAATAAGAATATCTGCAAATAAAGATATATCTGAAAGAGAAAAAATTATCATGCAGAAACTTCTCATTCTAATCTATGAACTATGTGAAAACTTTAAGATAGACATTTCCAATAAAAAATGTCTAACTCTGGGCTTCTTTCCATCAGGAATTTATGAACTAACATTCAATTTCTACCCTAGTCAATGGTTCTAACAAAACTTCTCATTTTAAAAAGATCAGGGACTTCCCTGGTGATCCAGTGGTTAAGACTTCACCTTCCAATGCAAGGAGTGCAATTTCGATCCCTAGTCAGGGAGCTGATATCCACCTGCCTCGTGGCCAAAATAATAAAACATAAAACAGAAGCAGTATTGTAACGGATTCAATAAAGACTTTAAAATGGTCCACATTTTAAAAAATCTTTTTAAAAAACTCCTTTAAAAAGTCAGATTTTTTTTTTTGCTACAAAATTTTATTTTCCAAAGTTCACTTAAACTGAACAAAAGAAAATCTTTATAGAGAAATATACAGTTCTTAATGTTTCTCCACATGCATGCATTGGAGATGGCTATGAGTCCTCTAAGAATAAGAACTTTATCAATAAGCCAGATACAAAATAATAAATATTGTATGATTCCTCTTATATGAGGTACCAATAATAGGCAAATTCATAGAGACAGAAAATAGAAGAGAGGTTACCAAGAGCTAAGGAGAGGGAGGAACAGGGAATCATTCAATAATGACCACAGAATTTCTGTTTGGAATGATTTTCTTTAAAAGTCCTGGAAATGGATGGTTGCACAGTATTGTGAATGCAGTTTAACTGCATTGAATTAGACACTTTTAAATGGTAAAATATATAAATAAATAATCTGATAATTTATCATTGTTTCTTGTGACTCTGGGCTGACTGGGCTCAGCTGGGCATTTCTCGCTTGGGGACTCTTGTCTGGTGGTGGCAGGGGTTCGATCAGCTGTATACTTCTGTCATATGGGCTGGGGTGACTGGAACTGCTGGGGGCTGGGCAGGCTTTCTCTCTCTCCATGTGGCCTTCCTCACGCATGCTGGCCTCAGGGTACATGGACTGCACATGAGGCTATCTTCTCCCATGAGCCAATTCCAATAGGCTCAGGTAGGCTCTGTGGGTCTTTTTATGAACCAGCCTCAGAAGCAGTGCAGCATCGCTACTGCTTTGTGCTTATAATCAAAAGCAAGGCAGAGGATCAGCTCAGAGTCATGACCCTCAGGGAAGGAACCACAAAGGGTATGAACAATTGGAGGGTGATGCATTGTGGGGGGTCATCTTTGGAGCGTAGCCATCACAGTTGCTGTTAGGGATGTTGTGGGGATTAAGAGAGAATGTCTTAAATGGTTTGTCAAAAATGGTATGCTCTGTCAGTGTGAGAGATCAGTATGCATTTAATGAAAGCATGACCTCAATGCATGAATCACTAAAAAAATGTCTTTGGCCAGAGGTTGGCAGATTGCAGCCTTTTTTTGTAAATAAACTTTTATTGGAACACAGAGACACTCTTTTAAGTATGACCTATAGCTGTTTTCATGCTATGATGCTAGAATTGAGTTCTTGTGACAGACTCTACAGCCTGCAAAGCCTAGTTAGAAAACATATGTTGACCCTTGTCCCAGGTGATAGAGTGAGCATAGTTGATGGATTCCTTAGACTTTTATTGAAATCTGTGGAAGGACTTGTGGGTGGAGTCATGAGCCTAGCTTCAACCCCAGTGTATTTAAAACATGGACATCTCCTGAGGGCCCCTGACCAGACAAAGAAGTTTGAGCAGTCTTTGGAGACCTGTTTCCTGTTGTAGAGTGGAGTCACATATGGAACTCACTGTAACTTTGAGATTGCCATCATCCTGTGACCCCCACAGCCAATAATCTCATGCTTTGTGTCAAATTTTATGGTCTGTGAACCTTCCTTGTCCAACACAGTAACCACTAGCCACAGATGATTATCTATGTTAGTTAAAATGAGATAACTTTTAAAATTCAGTTCCTCATTTGCACTAGGCATGTTTCAAGTGCTCATAACCATATGTAGCAAATAGCTGCCATGTAGTTCAGCACAGATAAAGAACATTTCATCCCCAAGGAAAGTTCTGTCCAACAGCACATCTCCAACAATGTGAATGCCTCATGTACACCACTTATCCCGTGGGTCATGTCCTCTTGTTTGTGCCTCAGTGTTTTCTGTCTTAGATGTTGACTCCCTCATGGGCAGAGTGCCCAATGTGAATCGTACATAGACTTATAACACATTTGGACAGACACCTTTCTTAAAATGTCATTGCTAAATAAGTACTAGCTGTTGATTTGTCCATTGCCATGATTTGTTATGGAGACGGTTTGGAAAGACGGGCAAGATTAGCAGTGAGGTCATCCCTCTCAGTACCCAGATCCACTTCACAGCACACCCAGTAAACAGACCCCTGGAGTATGCTCACACTTCTTTGCCTGGTGTGGGGTTGTCAGGAGAGCATCACATTTAGACACCCTGGGGTGAACTAGGGCAGCTTTGTGACTCCATGGGTCTTTTCACACACTGCAGTGGTCGCTGGCACTAAACTGCTTAGCCATAACACACACAGTGTGATTGTGACCTTGGCAAGTTCGCTAGACTTTCTGTGCTTTAGTTTCTTCTCTGTAAAATGGGAACAGTTCAGTTTAGTTCAGTCACTCAGTCATATCCGACTCTTTGTGACCCCATGAACTGCAGCAGGCCAGGGTTCCCTGAACTTGATATAGTTGTAAGGATTAGTTGAGGTGACATGTGGAAAGTACTCAGGATAGTGCCTAATGCAGAGTTTCATGCTCTTTCTCTTCTGGCTCTGCTTCTGAGGTACTGAAATGGTTCTGATACCTAATTCCAGTGTGTTGCTGGGGCGGGGGTCTCCCACACCACGCTATTCCCTGGACACCAGCTGGGTATCCTGTAGTTCAACTCAGTGCTGACGTTGTCTACCTGGAGGAAGCATCAGATCTCACAGGTTAAGGGCTCAGTCCCGCATGACTGGACCCCGGCCCCTGCCCATGTCAGGTGACAGACCCCTGTCCAGGTTGTTACTGGTGCTCCTGACTAAGAGGCTGTAAACCAGAGGTTCCCTTAACCACCTCCTGGAATTCGACCAATTTGCTAAAGCAGCTCACAGAACTCATGGAAACATATTTTACTTAGTACATCACCAGTTTATTATGAAAGGATATAAAGCTCAAGAAAAGCCCATTGGAACAGATATATAGGAGCAAGTATATGGGAAGAAGCAAAAACTTCTGTGCTGAGAGCATCACTCTCCCCAGTCCCATGGGTTCACTCCGGGGCTCTCCAAACCTTGTCCTTTTGGGGTTTATAGAGACTTCAGTACATGTACACTGATTAAATCATTGGCTATTGGCAGTCAGTTCAACTTGCAGTGCCTCTCTGCTCCCCGAAGGTTAAGGGGTGAGCCTGAAAGTTCCCACTCTCCATCGCAGGATTGTTTCTCCTGGCAGCCAGCCCCCATCCACACATGACCCAGGAGGCATTCCAAAATTGCCTCATTACCGAAAGACATCTTAGTCTCTCTTACCTCTTAGGAAGTTCCCAGGTTTTTAGAAGTTCTGTGCCAGAAACTGTATGAAGGCCAATTTATATATTTCTTAATACAAATAACAATATCACAGGGACCTTAGCAGACCACAAGTTACCCCCTGAGGAAGCAGAATGGGGTGCATTTTGATCAAGAGCTTACTTCCTTTGTTCTCCTGCTGACTCTCATTTAATTCATCCTTTGATCTTTGCCCGACCATTAAGATCTCTGTCAGAAAGAAAACTCTGGAAACATCTTTCCTGGACCTCAGGTTCAAGGAACTTGACCGCTATGTTTCTTGTTGAAACCCACCTCAAGCCATCAGTGCTTTTGCAAGGATTTTATCTCACTGAAGAGAATTACTTAACTGAGGTCTTAAGTTCTTTCTTTGAGTCATTCCTTTGGAGTTGTTATTTCAGTTTTGTCAGTTCTGGAAGGCATGGGCTTAGTCATGGATTATGCAGAGAGTGGGAGTGTCAGAGCAGATTCTCAAAGTTTGCATTTTTAGTTGCTTTTCCTCGTCACTTACCTGTCATTTATCATGGTGATGCCCTGGAGGTTATTTCTTTTAGAATTGGCTGTCATTCAAATGGAAATGTTAACTTGAAATGGAATGACTGCAACTGCCTGGACTCAGGTTGAACTGGAGACATCTATGTAATTTTGCTTTGAAATCATATCTGATTTTTTAAAAATTATTTATTTTTAATTGAAGGATAACGGCTTTACAATATTGATTTGGTTTGCCATACATCATCAACATGAATCACCCATAGGTGTACATATGTCCCCTCCCTCCCGCCTCCCACCCTTCCCCATACCTCTAGGTTGTTACAGAGCCCCAGTTTGAGTTCCCTGAATCATATAGCAAATGAAATCATATGTGACTTTGATTTTGTGTGATCTTTGAAGGAGAGAAGTCTCTCCAGGTTTTGAAATTCTTTTGGAACATGACCTGGCTGCTATTGAGATATTCCCGGTATCTTCAAGTCAGAAGCAGCGGTGACCACAATGGATCTTTCTGGGCATTTAGGGCCTGCTGCTTTTTTGCTGAGGAAAATGAGGGTCTCCTGTTGGCTGAAAAAAAAATGCACAACCTGAAAACTGAAAATATGTTTTACTCAGAAGACAAAACTGAGGGCTTGAGCCCGGGATGCAGCCTCTCAGACAGCTCTGAGGGACTGCTCTGAAGAGGTAAGGGAGGATCCAGGATATATAGGAGTCTTCCAACAAAGACCACGTAGTCAGAACATCAAAATATTACTGTTAGTTAAAGAAAACCAGGTATCTCAAATTAAAGAATTTAGCGCTTTTTTATTATATTCATGGGAAGATGCAAAAGTCTGGGCTCAGTGAAATCATTCCTTCGATATGCACCTTAGCTACCTAGGACCAGTGTTCTGCTTTTCTCATCCTGAGTCCCCTCAGGGTGCACTCCTGGGAGCAGTGTTAGTGGCTGAGAGCTTGAGGGCCACAGCATCCCTTGTTTGCTGATTTGGCAGGCAACTCTTTTTATTCACAAGTGATATTCCACCTATATTGGTCAGGGTCCCATGCTGGGAACATGGGACACATTCAAATAAGATAAAAGGAGGAAAGTTTATTTACCAAGGGAGCAACTACAAATTGCAAATTGTGTGGGGCTGAGAGGGCTGCACGGAGCAGTAGGGCCCTGGAAACAGCAACTCTTTCTGTTTGGGCACAGGGGTGTTACTTGAGCCTGAAAGGAGGGTCCGGGAAAGTCAGCACCAGACCTGGAATAGATACCGCCCGCACAGCCAGCCTGAGGCAACTGCAAGGAAAGAGATGGGGAGATGTACCCGTATCTTCTCCTCCTGTTCTCTGATCTGACAGGGTACACATTGGCCAGACCCAACCAGAGGGCATGAAAACCCATCACCTTAGTCCACACAGGCCAGCCCCCTGGGGCAGATAGCAGGGTGCATAGCTGGAGGGGCAAATGGAGTCCTTCCAGCACCCACCATAAAAAGCATTTGGGGAACTTATAAACAAAAAAGAAAAAAATAATAAAAAATTTAAAAAGCACAGCAGGGACTTCCCTGGCAGGCCAGTGGTTAAGTGTTGGCCTTCCAAAGCAGAAGGTGCAAGTTTGGTTGGGAGCTAAGATCCCACATATCTTGCAGCCAAAAAAAAAACCACAAAACACCCAAAACATAAAATAGAAGCAATATTGTAATAAATTCAATGCAGACTTCTTAAAAAATGGTCCACATTAAAAAAAAAAAGAAACTTTAAAAATTTAATTTTTTTTTTAAAAAAGGAAGCACAGCATACAGAATGAATGAGAGCCAGTTCTCCCAGGAACCTGACATGAAATGGCTACTCAGATATTAATTTCTGAGTTGAACTTCCTAGCAGCCACCACATAGGGGAAGCCTGGTGGGTTGAACAGTTAACATTGTGTGTCTGCACACGTCAAACTAGAAAGACAAACTAGTGAGCCAGATTCTCCCTGGGGTCCACTCCCTGTACCCTGTCCCGTCTCTTGGCACTGATGGTCTAATACCATCAGTCCTGAAAGAATTCGGGTGCTTGTCTTACTAGTGATTATGCAAGAGAAGAAATGGAGTATTCCTAATTTGGGAAAAATTTTGTTTTCAGGTTTCAAGGAAGATTTTCAGATGGACGTTTTTAAGGTCCTGGCAGCCATCCTACATCTGGGCAACGTACAGATCACAGCAGTGGGCAACGAGAGATCAGTGATCAACGTAAGATATGTGTTTGTTTCCCCCATTCTGTGTTGGGAGGATCATCAGCAGAAGCTCTCAGGGTTACCCTGCTTTTGCATTTTAGCACCAGGCACACTGGACCTACTAGGGGGATCAGTTTAACAGGATCAAGGAAGATCGGGGTTTCCATGGGTTACCTTCAAAGAGTAAAGCTTCTTTCTTCCCCTTGCAACAGCAGAGAAGGGAGAAACACATCCTCTGTGTGTTTTCCTTTTATTCAACAAATTTTTATTGATTGCCTGCTCTGTGCCAGACACTGTTGTAGGCTCTGGAGAAGCATCAGTGAACAAAACAAAATCAGAAGGCCTTCATGAAGCTTTTGATCAGGAGGAGAAAATGGAGGGGAGGAGACACAGTAAAAGTTATAGGCTCTGGCAGCTGGCAATAACCATTAAAAATGAAAATAGGGGGCTTCCCTGGTGGCTCAGGGGTAAAGAATCCGCTTGTCAGTGCAGGAGGCACAGGTTTGATCCCTGGTCAGGGAGGGCCCCACATGCTGCAGAACAACTAAGCCCATGGACCACAACTGTTGAGTGTGTGCTCTAGAGTCCAGGAACCACAGCTGCTGAGCCCGAGTACCATAGCTGCTGAAGCCCACACACCTAGAGCCTGCGTCCCTCACCAAGAGAAGCCACCTCACTGAGAAGCCTGCACACCACAACTAGAGAGCAGCCCCTACTCACCACAGCTAGAGAGAAGTCTACACAGCAACAAAGACCGAGCACAGCTCAAAAGAAAAATAAATAAAAAATATTTTTTAAAAAGAAGGAAAACAGGGACTTCTCTGGTAGTCCAGTGGTTAAGTCTCCACACTTCTAATGCAGGGGATGTGGGTTCAATCTCTGATCAGGAAGCTAAGATCCCACATGCCATAGAACATGGCCCAAAAATAAAAAAAGGAAAATATAGCAGAATAGGTGGAAACAGGCTGTACCTTTTGTATCGGGCATTCAGAGAAGACCTTTCTAATTCAGTAAGGAAATGAAATTGTGTCTATATCTGGAGGAGGAATATTCCAAGTAGAGGGAACAGCAGGTACAAAGGCCCTCGGGCAGGAAGTGTTATTGGAAAAATAGCCAAAACGTTGGTAAATGCAAAGACAAGTGAGAGAAAGGAGAAGTGGTGGGTGAGGTCAGAAAATGTGTGTGGTTGGGAGGGGCACAGATCATGAAAGACCTTAAGGGCACTAGACATGTCTTACCTCCTGACACATGCCTGAATGAAACACCAATGGTGCTGGCTTCCTCTCTGAAAATAGGCTTCCATGTAAGTTTTGTGACTGATTTCTTCATTTCATGGACACAAGATAAGTTTATGTATATGTCTGCTAGGCAACAAATGTTATGCTTTGGTGTGAGGTATGTGGTTATCCTCAACAATATCCATGTAACGAGGACAGTCACATGTTTAAAATGTTTCTGTGAAATGCAAAATCTCCTTGCTGTTAAAGCTTTGTGTTAACAATGTGTGTCTTAGTCAATTCCAGTTGTCATAATAAAATACCACGGGCCAGGTGGCTTAATAACAGAAATCTATCTTCTCACAGTCCTAGAGTCTGGAAGTTCATTCAAGATCAAGGTGCCAACACAGTTGAGTTCTCAAGATGCTGGCTTCTAGACAGCTGCCCTCTCTCTTGCTGTGTCCTCACAGGGCAGAGAAAAAGCAAGCTCTATTCTCTTTCCTCTTCTTATAAGGACACTAATCCCATCAAGGGACTCCATCCACATCTAAACCTCATTACTTCCCTAAGGCCCCACTTCCGAATACCACCACATTGGGGGTTAAGACTTCAACACATGAATTTTTCATATGACTGAGACATTCAGTCCATAACAATGCCTCTAGAACAACCGATGGGAACAGTTGTTAATTTTGTACACCTGTTCATTTCTCAGCTCTGGTACCTGCGGTTTAAGGGGAGAGAGCGCTGAGCAGATGTGGAAGATATGTTTTTTGGCTCAGTGCATCAGTCCTGTTGCCCTGTGACCCGGAAGTAATTCTTCAGATTATCACACTAAGTGCTTTGCCCCATCCCCACAAAGAATCCGCTTGTCAGTGCAGGAGGCACAGGTTTGATCCCTGGTCAGGGAGGGCCCCACATGCTGCAGAACAACTAAGCCCATGGACCACAACTGTTGAGTGTGTGCTCTAGAGTCCAGGAACCACAGCTGCTGAGCCCGAGTACCATAGCTGCTGAAGCCCACACACCTAGAGCCTGCGTCCCTCACCAAGAGAAGCCACCTCACTGAGAAGCCTGCACACCACAACTAGAGAGCAGCCCCTACTCACCACAGCTAGAGAGAAGTCTACACAGCAACAAAGACCGAGCACAGCTCAAAAGAAAAATAAATAAAAAATATTTTTTAAAAAGAAGGAAAACAGGGACTTCTCTGGTAGTCCAGTGGTTAAGTCTCCACACTTCTAATGCAGGGGATGTGGGTTCAATCTCTGATCAGGAAGCTAAGATCCCACATGCCATAGAACATGGCCCAAAAATAAAAAAAGGAAAATATAGCAGAATAGGTGGAAACAGGCTGTACCTTTTGTATCGGGCATTCAGAGAAGACCTTTCTAATTCAGTAAGGAAATGAAATTGTGTCTATATCTGGAGGAGGAATATTCCAAGTAGAGGGAACAGCAGGTACAAAGGCCCTCGGGCAGGAAGTGTTATTGGAAAAATAGCCAAAACGTTGGTAAATGCAAAGACAAGTGAGAGAAAGGAGAAGTGGTGGGTGAGGTCAGAAAATGTGTGTGGTTGGGAGGGGCACAGATCATGAAAGACCTTAAGGGCACTAGACATGTCTTACCTCCTGACACATGCCTGAATGAAACACCAATGGTGCTGGCTTCCTCTCTGAAAATAGGCTTCCATGTAAGTTTTGTGACTGATTTCTTCATTTCATGGACACAAGATAAGTTTATGTATATGTCTGCTAGGCAACAAATGTTATGCTTTGGTGTGAGGTATGTGGTTATCCTCAACAATATCCATGTAACGAGGACAGTCACATGTTTAAAATGTTTCTGTGAAATGCAAAATCTCCTTGCTGTTAAAGCTTTGTGTTAACAATGTGTGTCTTAGTCAATTCCAGTTGTCATAATAAAATACCACGGGCCAGGTGGCTTAATAACAGAAATCTATCTTCTCACAGTCCTAGAGTCTGGAAGTTCATTCAAGATCAAGGTGCCAACACAGTTGAGTTCTCAAGATGCTGGCTTCTAGACAGCTGCCCTCTCTCTTGCTGTGTCCTCACAGGGCAGAGAAAAAGCAAGCTCTATTCTCTTTCCTCTTCTTATAAGGACACTAATCCCATCAAGGGACTCCATCCACATCTAAACCTCATTACTTCCCTAAGGCCCCACTTCCGAATACCACCACATTGGGGGTTAAGACTTCAACACATGAATTTTTCATATGACTGAGACATTCAGTCCATAACAATGCCTCTAGAACAACCGATGGGAACAATTGTTAATTTTGTACACCTGTTCATTTCCCAGCTCTGGTACCTGCGGTTTAAGGGGAGAGAGCGCTGAGCAGATGTGGAAGATATGTTTTTTGGCTCAGTGCATCAGTCCTGTTGCCCTGTGACCCGGAAGTAATTCTTCAGATTATCACACTAAGTGCTTTGCCCCATCCCCACCAGTATCCAGTCCTTGCAGAGTCAGTTCCCAAAGGACTGGGAAGTTTGGAGGAGGTGATGGCAGGCCTGGAAGGTGTGCAGTGTAGTTCTCCCACTGGGTCCTGGCTCGTTTACCTCAGAAATGGGCTTCTGCACTTTTTCTTCTAAAACTCCCATAGACTGAAGATATGACTTCCAAATAAATGCCCTGGCTTTGAACTCTGTTCTGTGAAGTTTGTTGTGAAGGTAGCATTTTGGAGAAGGAGTTAAAATTGATAGACTAAAATTCCTTTGTCTATCAATCTTAGGAGACAAATCCCACACACAAAAAAATGTCAGATCTTTGTAGAAAATAATTTTCATTCATTTGCATCAAGAACGTGAAATATTGGGCAAATTCAATCTGAATGAAGCCATCTTATGTTTTAAAACTTGCTGCCCCTTTGCATTTCCCCCTATAGCTGGGTGTTTTTGTCTCAGAAGGTTTGGTTCCTGCTTAGAAGGAAGGAAACCAATAACTCAGCCAAACCTCACAGTACTGACACGCTTTATGTTACTGTGATATTGATCAGAAGGGATGTGGGTGGGCAGCAGGGAGGCAGCAGGACTTTTTAGGTTGTTAGAGCCACAATAACCTGATGCTTTTTAAATGCAATCATGTGATTTTTCCCCAATTGACTGAGATGCTATCTACAGATGAGCCCATCTGGGAAGTTTTCCCTACCCAAGAGGAATGGTGGTGTGCAGTCACATGGGATTGCATCTCCTTGCCTAGTGACAGGGACCCCTAGTTCTTGCTGCCTAAAGCAGGAGCAGACCTTTCCTCGTCTGCTGGCCAGTGGGGCAGCTTTCATGCCCAGGCTTGGGAGAGAAACAAGATTCACTTTGTACGTCCAGAATTCCCCCACCACAGCCCTCATGTTGGCTGGAAAACCACTTCAGTTCAGGGAGCCCACCACATTCTCCCTGACAACACCACTGAGGTCCCTCCTGGGCCAGACCCCACCCTGGGCAGACCCCAGCTACACAGAGAGAGACAGGGCAAGTGTAGGTTCTGACAGGTGGCCTGGGTGTGATACAAAAGGGCAGAGAGAGGCCTCAAGGCTGTGTCCACAAGTACAGGAGACGGGGGAGGATTGCTTCTGTGACCTAAACATCACTACTGACATTCTTTGGCCAGAAGGAAAATCTGGGTAGAACACAGCCTGGGATCTCCTGGCATCACCACAGCCAAGGACCAGGTGCAGGCTCCATGCCCCCAGGGGCCCTCCTGCTTCACTCCCAGCCCTGGCTCTGTGTTATGAGGCCTGATCGCGCATAGGTTGAGGGGCACAGCTGGGTGGGCCAGTGCCAGTTTAGATGGCCTGACGGGGCTGTGTCTTTTGTTTCTGAAGGAGGATGATGGTCACCTGGAGGTGTTCTGTGAGCTCCTGGGCCTGGAGAGTGGCAGAGTGGCTCAGTGGCTGTGTAATCGCAAGATCGTCACAACCTCCGAGACAGTGGTGAAGCCCATGACCAGGCCCCAGGCTGTCAATGCCAGGGATGCACTGGCCAAAAAGATCTACGCTCACCTGTTTGACTTCATTGTGGAGAGAATTAACCAAGCCTTGCACTTTTCAGGCAAGCAGCACACTTTTATTGGTGTTTTGGACATTTATGGGTAAGATTCTCTTCCGTGAGCTTGTCTTTCCTCATTTAAATGTCAAATGCCTGTTATCTTTAGGTCGCTTTAGTCTGGTGGTTTTGTGTTTCACATGGTCAGGAAGATGGTGTTCTCTGGTTTTGCATCTATGGATGTTAAGTACAGTCTCCTGGGCTACAATGTCTTTTATGTAGGGTGTGTTAAAAAAATTCTACATCAGTAATGGCCAACATGAAGAGCGCATGCCAACTATCATGCTGAGTGGTTTCCATGCACTTTTTTATTCCTTAAACAACCTTATAATTATCCCCATTTTACAGATGAAACAACCAAGGCTTAGGAAGACTCATTCACGGTTGCTCTCCTGGTGGGAGAACCGAGTTCCGTAGGAGGATGGCACCCACCTGTTTCCCTGCAGAGACCCCATGAGGTGTGGAACCCTGACATACCTCTCCCACTTCACAGCCCCAGACACCCTGCACCTTGCCCACGAGCACAGGGCCAGAGGTAGGCTCAGACCCGAGCCTTTTACCAACCAGGCCCCTCATGCCTACATCCTTGTCTATTCTTGGATCATAGGGGTCATGTGTTTGCCCCTTTCTCCATGAATTCTGATACATTTGGTGGATCAAGTTACCACACTGGAGGGTTTTTTCTAGCTTCTTTTCTTTGCCCAGCCCTGCTTTTCTGAGTCAGATTCATCCTAAAGACACTTGAAGAATAGAATAGCCAGAGAGAGTGAGGGAGGGAGGCCTGGCCAGCATGGAGGCTGGCTCTGAGAGGAGTTAGCACTTGGGCTTTTGTTTGTTAGAGGCTGGCCTCAAGCGCCTAACGCCTTCCCCCCTAGGGCCAACCCTGGTTTCTCAGAGGGAGAGGGACAGATTGTCCCAGGGAAGGCATCACAGAGTATTCCACCTGGATTGGGGAGTAGCCCCCCACACCCGGGAGAAAGCAACTCACCCTCCCCACTTCCCAAATGGAGGGGCGAGCTGGCTCTGCTGGCCGGCTGCTACCTGCTGCGGGGTGGGGCAGGCAGAACTTCTACCCAAATACAGCACAATAGCTTTTCCCATAGTTACTTCATATGAGACTCAGGGGTGTTACCTGTTTAACATGATGGTGGCTTGGTGGTTTAGTCACTAAATTGTGTCCAACTCTTGCGATCCCATGGACTATAGCCCACCAGGCTCCTCCGTCCATGGAGGATGGATTTTCCATCCTGGATTTTCCAGGCAAGAATACTGGAGTGGGTTGCCATCTGGGTTCTAAGTTAATACATGTGACTCCCGATTAATAGTATCTGTCAACAATTATAAAACTCTTACATTGCTGGGTTAGTCTAGTAAATTATTTACCTTAAAAATAAGGATTTGAGCAGCAGCCAGTAATCATCTAAGTAGACTTTTAAATGGAAATAGTCCTTCTTAATAATAGTCTCTCTCATTGTGATGGAAATAAGTGATTGTTATATTTTTCTCTGTTCTTTTCTGTGTTTTTTTTTTTTTTTAAAATAAATAGCCCTTTATTTTTAAGAGTATATTATCTCATTCAAGAACACACATTCATGTGCCAGGAACTGTGTCAGGTGTGATGGGTGAACAGAACAGACATCTGGCCCCTGCCTTGTTGGGACTTAAATTTCAGTGGCGGAAGAGGCCATCAGAGATTGGGATGGTTCCTGGGAAAGGAATAAGTGGATGGATGTGTCACCAGTTGACCAGACACCAGGAAGAGAGGGGGCAGCTGAGAGTAAGGAGCCGAGAATAAGGAGTCAGGAGAACAGCAGGCAGGCGTCAGGCATCACAAAGCTGATAGACCATGGTAATAAGGAACTTGAATTTTTGGCTAAGTGGGCAAACTTCAGACAGGAGAAACTGTAAATTTTTTTGAGAACTTGTTAGAGTATATTTTAAATTTTAAAATTAAACCCCTCTTTAAAAATTTAAAAAGTAACATGCTCACTTGTCACCCATGAATTCATTTCACCCCTCCGACAAAGGAATCTCTCCTCTTTAAGTACGAGTGTCACTGTCTGGAGGGAATCCTCTCACGCCTTTCCCCAGTAGGCTCAGGGCTGGACTCGCCCTCGTCCCTGCGTCCCTGCACACCTGCAGCCGCGGCGAGAGCTGAGCTCAGGGTGAGCTGGGAATACGGCGGCCTCAAGGGGGAGTTACCCTGCACGAAGACAGTTAAATCCCAAGCTGTGAGCCTTGAGATTTCAGCTCGGGACATCGTGGAGGCTTGTGGTTCCCTACCCAGCCAGATGCTTATGTTCTCTGGACTCCGAGCTGGAAGGGCTTGGGGCCAGGAGTCAGACCCCAGGGAGTAAGCACTGCACCACACCCATTGTGTGGCCTGGACGGCGTCACTGAACCTCAGTTTTTGTGTCTGTAAGATGGGGCCTCTCTCGTAGGGTTATCAAATGGAAGAAATTGTGAATGCATCTTTACAAACCATAGGGATTGTTCTGATGTGAACAGGAAAAGTAATGTCATTGATGTTTGACATCCGGCCCCTGCCCTGAGAAGTCCTGCCTTTGGCCCTGGCTGTGGGCTGCAGGGCACAGTGAGGCCCTTCTGCCTCCCCTCCAGGCCCAGCTGTGGCCTGTCTGCAGTGTCCAGGCCACCTGAACCCCTGGATCATCCAGGGTGCTAGTGGAATGGGGCTGTCAGACTCTGGGTTCTCCTCTTGCTCCATGGACAGTCTGGGACCTTAACCTCCCCAGAAATTCTACACTGAGCCCAATGGGCTCAGTCAAGTGACACTCCCCGGGGACCTGTGGTTGGCGCCGGCAGGAACCTCTCAGGATTAGAGCGATTAAGAACTAAGGCTGGAGAGTCCCCACGAGCTGGGGTCAGATTTCGCGTGTCTGGCACCGCTCTGTGTTGGTCACCATCTCCTCTGACCGTTGCATGTAACCGTGGAGTCAGGGCAGCCCTTCACCTAGGGTGGTGTTAGGGTTAAGTGTGGTGATGGGCATCAGTGGCAGCACCTAAAGCGCTTGGATTCCTCCTGGCAGAAACGCTCCTCTGCCCAGGTGGTGGATCGGGTGCCCCAGTTCTGTTCAGCCTACATCGTGTTTTACAGAGTGGGGTAATTCACATGAAAGTCCAGGTTTCTGGATTCTTTTGAGAGTCAGGTGACCAGACATCCTGATCTGATTAATCCATGGCCACACCTGGCTCGAGCTGAGCAGCAACCATCCTGTAGGGCAGACCTGGTTCTCACGGATCCCACACAGTCCCAGCCGCTCTTCATGCTGTCATCTCCAGGCCTTCTCAGCTCCTGGGTCTGCAACTCCAGAGGCAGCCTTTGAAAGTCTGAAGACAGAGGTGGGGCCGTGTCTTCCTTGGACCTGAAGGGGTCTGCTGGGCTGTGACCTTGCTCTTTGCCTCTGAGGACTATGAAAGTGCCCCTGGGGGAAGCAAAACTGCTGCCTCTACCTTCAGCAAGGAGTGGGGGCACAGGAGACAACGTTGCTTTTTCACTGGGAGCAGAAGTGTTACAGTCAGGTGGACTCATAGTTAAGTCTGACGCTGACTGCGTGACCCCAGACAAATTTTTGAACTTCTCAGTCTTATTTCCTCATCTATGAACTGAGGATAATAAGGCTGATATCAGTGCTGTTGTGCAGATTATGTGATATGCCATAATGTGCACATGCCTATTTTAGTGCCTGCCTCAAGTAGGTGTTTTGTACATACCAGATTCCTTCCTGGGGCAGCCTGGAAAAATGTGACTTGTAAGCTGACTGCAAGGATGGTTAAAACAAGAATTGAGGCATGTTTAAAACTCACAGAAAACAAAAAAGTTAACACTGTTAAAGTTGTGAAAAATACTAACCTATAAACAAATGTGTATGTCCTTCAAGTTGTGTTTTAACTAGTTTAAACTGTATTTCAGTTTTGAAACCTTTGATGTGAACAGCTTTGAACAGTTTTGCATCAATTATGCTAATGAAAAGCTGCAACAGCAGTTTAACCTGGTAGGTGACTTTTTTGCCTTCTTGAAACTAGCTCTCAGGTGTGGGTGGGTGGGTGTGTGTGTGGAGGGGGGGTGTGTGTGTGTGTACACGTACAGGAAGAGAGGCTGACTGGCTCTTAGCCTCTTCAAATCTTACCAGCATTAAGAGTCCCATGCTGGGTCACTGCACCATCTTGTGGCTGTTTCTTGAAACTGCACCTTCCCATCCTATTTCATTTTTGTGGAGGCACCTGCCAACGTTTGTTTCAGTTCATCACTTGCCATTCTTGGATACAGACCCCTTCCAGCCTGACCAAGTCGCTTAGTTTCCTGCAGGCTCCAGTCCTTGTGAGCCTCGGTATCTGCACCTACTCTCTGCCACAACCTGCCTGCCCCTGTCCTTTCCCATCCCTTCCTCTTCACCTGGAGAACTCCTGCTTGTCTTTTGAAATTCAGCTTCTCCCACACAACTCATGAGGAAAAGATAGTGTGACATCATAGAGAGCATGAGCTTTTGCTCAAACTGAAGTGGATTTGAGTTTCAGATCTACCACCTCCTTCCCCTGGGGTGTTGGGTTTTCTGAGCCTCAGTTTTCTCATTTTGAAAATGGATCAGTTGTATTTTCCTAGTATTCTTGTGAGGAGAACTCTTAATATTGAATCATATTGAGTAAATGCTTCTTTGCTTTCTTATTCCTTGTTCCAGAGTTAATCCATGTATAAGCATTAAGTTTCACCCCACATTTGTATTCTGTTATCATTCTCGTGGATTCCCTGGAAGTTTAGCATTTAAAACTGAAACTAAGATTTATTCCAAGTGGATATGCAGCATAACTCACCTGAAGTCAAACAGTACATGTGGATCCTGCCCCTCCCCCGACTCCAGGGCCACTTTGCTTCCCAACACACACATTCACCGCAACCTTAGAATGATACATATGTGAGACACTCTGAAAGTAGCACATCAGAGGCTGAAATTCCATTCTTTTCTTTTTTTATTCTGCCTTCCTCCTCTTCCACTTCATCCTCCTCATTTTTCCCCCTTTGACGTTGTTAGAGTCAGCTATCAATGTGCAGATCCTCCTGGGAGGGGTAATGACTTAAAATATAAGTATAAGCCCTAGCGAGTCGTCTCCTGGCTCCTGTCCCATAAATCTGGCCTCTGCTGAACCCCCGCATCTGAGCAGCCTCTGGGAGCTAAGCCGTGACAAAGTGAGCCTGCCACCTTCCTCTCTTGGCCTCTGTGCCATCCGTGCTCCCTTCTGTGGTTAAAGCACCACCCCGACCCGGTGTCCTGAACCTTGCGTTCACCCAGCCTCTTTGCTCTTACTCCCCTTCCTTGCAGTGTCCAGCCTCTGCGGAACCCTGGGCTGAGTCCTGACTGGGCCCTCCCCTCCAGTTCTGGCCTCTTCAAAGCCATTCCCACCCCCAAACCAAGTTACCTTTCCAGAACCTGTCTTGTCATGAACTCCATGGGTCTTCACTGCCCCCAGGAAAAGGCCACAGAACTGAGATTGCCTGGGGGTTCACCAAGAATCTGGTCTGGCATGATTTCCCCTCTGCCGTCCTTGGCAGCCCCATCCATCACTCCAGCCATTACCATTGTTCGCGCTCTCTCTCTGTCTCGCTCTCTCTCTCTCTGTCTCTCTCTCTCTCTCTCTCTCTCACTTGTGTGGGCACTGTTCGGTTCCCAGCCACCTGTTGGGCTTCGTGCAGTCCCCTCTGGGATTCTCCCATGGGAGCCTTTCTCCTCACAGCCCCTCCCCTTCTGCCGCCCGCAGCCAGGATGAGCCCGAGCCAGCCCGCTGGGCAGCCTTCCCTGTGCCCCTGTGGCTGAAACAAGTAATGCACAAAGCTCTTCAAGTTGTTAGCCTCTCGGGTGGGCTGGCTCTTAACCCAGTCAAAGAGACTGGGTCCATGTTTGACAGCAGCAGTGGCTGAGCAGGAAGAGGCTCCAGGACCACCTTGAGTGCCAAAGGTGGCAGGCTGGCCCAGAGTTTACACCCCAGGATGTGGGGACCCACTCAGCCTGGGCAGGAAGAGGACAACTAGACCCACGTTAGGACCTCAGCAGCATTGATTGTGGGTAAGGGGGGTGACATGTACCTCGGAGGCTTCCATAAACAGTACAGATCAAGTCATGTGCCTACATTTTCCAAAAGTTTATGTCCTGTTCTTCAGAAGCACATCCTAATACTCTCTTTTACTTTCTATATTAATGTCTGGATTTCCAGCATGTCTTTAAACTTGAACAAGAAGAATATATGAAGGAAGACATTCCTTGGACTCTGATAGATTTTTATGACAACCAACCAGTCATTGACCTGATTGAAGCAAAAATGGGCATTTTGGAGTTACTGGATGAAGAATGCTTGGTAACTTTTAAAAATAATTTTCTTTAACTTCAGAGCAATAATAGATGAGCCTGTTTTAAAATCTACATGTAAATTCCTGATTGATCAATTACCAGTTGATTGGCTGTTAATTCTGGGACAGCAGTTCATAGCAGGAACCCCAGGAGGCCGGGTAAACCTCCCACCCTCAGCATGTATAGCCCACCCATGGGTAACATGCATGACCTCTTAGGTCAGTCTAGCAGGGAGGAGCCCTTTGAAGCTGTCTCTCAGTGTGTGTATAGAGTAGACATGGAAGAAGCAAGTACCCACACTCCAGTTGTTAATGACTAACAGGAACTGAGTTTTCTCTCACTTCCTGATTCCATGAGTCACCCACTGGGAGATGCAGCTGAAAAATCAACGTCATACAATTGAGAAAAGAGTCTCTAGGAAGTTTCCTATTGTTATTACCCTCTGGGAGGAACAACTTTATAGTGAGTCAGCCTAGCAGTGGCCTTCATGGGGCCATAGGAAAAAATAATCCCTAGCACAGTATTTGGTCTCTTTTGGTCTGAAATTGATATTTTAATGTTTAAACACACACATCTTTTTTTTTTTTTCCCCAAAGATTTATCACCCCCTTCCATGATTATAATGTTGAAGACATACTGGTACTTTCTCCCTATAATTCTGAATTCCATGGTTCTTCTCACAGACCATCCTTTCTGATGCCACCTATGTTTTCGTCCCTGCAGTGATGTAAGATTAAAAGTCAGGCACCAAGGCCAAACATTCTGGAATGATCTACTAGGGGCAGAGGCCAATGTGGGCTCTAGGAATATTTGTACCAAATCTACAGAGATTCCCTGGTGGCTTAGATGGTAAAGAATCTGCCTGCAACACAGGAGACCTGTGTTGCATCCCTGGGTTGGGAAGACCCCCTGGAGGAGAAAATGGCTGCCCACTCCAGTATTCTGACACTGCAGAGATGGTCCCTAGGTGGCCAGTGTCACAGAGAAGTTTGCAGGTGTCATTTGGACACTATGGAGTGTTAGATTCACAGAGTTCAGGCTGAATATAGCTGGTGATAGCTTCAAAATCACCAGCATCAAGAACAAGTAAGTAGTTGTAACTAAGTAACTTACTTAGTGTAAGTAGTTAAGACCTTAGTTCAAGGAGGGAGTTATTAACTAGGCAGTAAAACAAAAGAAAAACTCTTCCTGAGGCAAGAGATGGGGAGGACTACATTTGGGTGCCAACCTTTCTCCATTCAACCAAGAATAAAAATTGTTTTCACCTAATGGAATTTGTTTGCCTTGGAAACGAACAGAGATCATTCTGTCATTTTTGAGATTGCATCCAACTACTGCATTTCGGACTCTTTTGTTGACTATGATGGCTACTCCATTTCTTCTAAGGGATTCCTGCCCACAGTAGTAGATATAATGGTCATCTAAGTTGAATTCACCCATNGTTGACTCATTGGAAAAGACCCTGATGCTGGGAGGGATTGGGGGCAGGAGGAGAAAGGGATGACAGAGGATGAGATGGCTGGATGGCACCACTGACTCGATGGGCATGAGTTTGAGTAAACTCCGGGAGTTGGTGATGGACAGGGAGGCCTGTTGTGCTGCGATTCATGGGGTCACAAAGAGTCGGACACAACTGAGTGACTGAACTGAACTGAATGGAATTTGTGCTACTTTTTGCTGAATCTTTGGACTACTTTGGGAAAAAATATTAAAATACTGCCAGTTCTGCAGAAATAAAGTCCTTCATCCTTATATCATTATATCACTGTTTCCTTTTCATTGATAATATCTTGTTCTTCTAAAAGAGCATTGATAAAATGTCTATTGAAATATCACTCTAAAGAATAAGAGCAAAGACAGACTCATGCCTCTGTTGCTGTTGAAAAAGGAGCCTCCCACGTCGAGCAGTCAAGTCCAGCTCTTCTTGGTTTCTTAGAATTAGCACTTTCCCTCCCCTTGGTTAATCTTTTGTCTCTAGTTGTCTTACTTGCTATTTGGTTTGCTTTTCTCTTCCAGTTACCACATGGGACTGATGAAAACTGGCTTCAAAAGCTGTATAATAATTTTGTCAACAGAAACTCTTTGTTTGAAAAACCCAGAATGTCAAACACCTCCTTTATCATCCAGCACTTTGCAGATAAGGTACAATGAGCGTCTGGAGCAGAGCTGTCTGCCCGCGGCTATCTAGCTGTCCCCTGGAAGGAGCAGGCAGGCCAGGGGCTTTTCTGGTCAGAACTGTCACGCTTAATGTACAGCTGTGATGAAGAATACTTGTGTGTACGCGAGTGTGTGTGTGTGTGTGTGAGAGAGTAACAGTTCTCAATTTGGCTTTATCACATAATACGTGAGTTTCAATTATATTTTTTAAAGATAAACGTATTGCCAGTGGACCTCATTTCTGATTTGGGGCTTATAAGTTCGTTAACCATTTATTAGTTTATTTTCTGTATGAAATTGTTATAATTACGACTGGATAGGGACCTCCCTGGTGGTCCAGTGGCTAAAACTCCATGTTCCCAATGCAAGGGCCTGGGTTCAGACCCTGGCCAGGGAACTAGATCTCACATGCCACAAATAAGAGTTTGTGTGCCACAACTAAGACCCAGCACAGCCAAAATAAATTAACTTTTTGAAAAAGACAGAGTAGTTGTTTCCTACATTGAAAGCTATGTCTTTTTTTGACCCTTTGCTTTTTTATTGTCATTATTTATTTATTACTTTGGTAACAGTAATGGGTTTTCTAGGTGATCTTTGTTTTGTTTGTATGTCTCCAATTTCTTATGGAAAAATGTTACTTTAATTTCAAAATTATTTTAAAAAATCAAATTACAGAAAGCTTAGAAAATGGAAGGATAAGAAGACAATTCACCATAACCACCTGCCCTAAACATGCTTTGTCATCTTACTTTCCTTCCTTAAGAAAAATCCTGCTCTCTGCTTTATTACCCAGTTTGGGTGTTACTCCTGTGGCCTGGCCAGCACCTTGGGATCATGGGGACAGCCTGGGCTTGTGTGTCCTAGCCGCTAATGCTGTGGGTCAGTCTGCTGGTCATGCCTGGGTACCCACAGGGGCAGCGGAGGGGATAGCCAGCTGCTCAGCTCTAATAACCTGTGTGGGTGAGAGGAGCACTGTTAAATATGATCGCCTTTTAGTGCTTGCTTGCAAGTTTTTCATATAGGCTCCTGAAGAGATGCACATGAAATGAGTGTTGATGTATCGTTATATTTTCTAGTTGTCCTTTATATTTTCACAGTTGTGATCCCAAGTAAAAAAAAAAAAAAAAGGCATCAGACTTCCTGTAAAGCACATATATGGGATTTACTTCAAGAGACCTTGTCTATAGTACATGGTTTCTGTACATTTAATTCTTGACATTTGGTACTTCTAAGAGGGTCCTCTTAAGAGAGCTAACAATGCTGTATTTTGTGTGGACTGTGGATTGGAGGGAAGAAACTACACATGCCATAGCATTAGCTTACATTCTCAATTTAACTAGCCAGGAAAATAAAATTGTCTTCAGAGCAAGGCAGCTGTGCTTAGATACAGTACTTTGCCGTGGTCCTCAGAGCCCCGGCAGAGAAACTTAGCTGCCCGTGACACTGTCCCTGCAGACAGTCTCCTGGGAAAGCTATTTATTACACCTTTGCTTGTTTATCTAGTGACTCACACACCAGCCTGGAAGAACTTACACAGCAGTCCTCCTGCTTTATTCACAAGGGTGTGTTTACAGACAGCCAGTGTTCCTGGTTCCTAACCCAAACTGTGCACCAGTAAGGATACTTTCCTACCCGTGGGGCAAGGCAGCGTCCTTGTCAGGGGTCCCTGAACACCCTCTCTGCATCCACATTCCAGCACCCCAAGAGCCTGTTTGTTCACAATTAAAAAATTTTTTTTTAATTTATGAAGAATATCACATTTTTAAATATACAATCCAGAGATTCGACCATTGTAAATAGTGCTGCAATGAACCACAGGGGTACAAATATCTTTTTGAATTAGTGTTTTGGTTTTCTTGATATATATATATATATATATATATACACATACATACACACACACCCAGGAATGGAATTGCTGGATCAAATGGTAATTCTATTTTTAATTTTTTGAGTAAACTCCATACTGTTTTCCATAGTGGCTGCACCAGTCTGCATTCCCACTGACAGTACACGAGTGTTCTCTTTTCCCCACATCCTTACCAACACTTGTTATTTGTTGTCTTTTCGATGATAGCTATTCTGACAGGTGTGAGGTTTATCTCACTGTGGCTTTGATTTGCATTTCCCCAGTGATCAGTAACACTGAGTATATTTTCATGTGCCTGGTGACCATCTGTTTGTCTTCTTTGGAAAAATATCTATTCAGATTCTCTGCTCATTTTTTAAATAGAATTCTTTTTTTGTAGTTGAGTTGTATAAGTTCTTATATTTTGGATGTTTATCCCTTATCAGATATATCATTTGCAAATAACTTCTCCATTCAGTAGGTAGCCTTTTTGTTTTGTTGATAGCTTCCTTTGCTGTGTAAAAACTCCTTAGTTTGGTGTAGCCCGATTTATTTTTGCTTTTGTTTCCCTGGTCTGAGAAAACATATCCCCCAAAGTATTACTAAAACCAATGTCAAAGAGCATGCTACCTGTGTTCTCTTTTACAAGTTTAATGTTTTCAGGTCTTACATTTAAATTTTAATCCATTTTGAATTTATTTTTGTGCATGATGTGGGAATAGTCCAGTTTGGTTCTTTTACATGTAGCTGCCCAGTTTCCCCAACACCACTTATTGAAGAGGCTGTCTTTTCCCCACCATATGCTCTTGCCTCCTTTGTCATAGATTAATTGCCCATACAAGTGTGGGTTCATTTCTGGGCTCTCTACTCTGTTATATTGATTTATGTGTCTGTCTTTATGCCAGTGCATAAACTGTTTTGATGACTGTAGCTTTGTCACTAACTAGAGATTTGAATATTTAAGGAGTCACTCTGGCTTATGAATCATAAAGGGCTTCATGGAGGGTTTTTCTAAACCAAACTCTAACCCACTCTAAATCTGACTCTAAGGATTTTGTGCCTTGGAAAGCTGTGTGGTCAGCTGGTCAGTTTTTCTTTTCTTTCTACCACATTAATGCTGATTCAGGAAGACATTTCTGTTTGAACTCAAAGGATACCACTGAGCTTTTCTCCTCCTCCTGGTGACTTCAAAGGCAAAGAGAACCCTAAGTGAGGTCTTCTTTTATTAATTGCACATATAACAGGGAACAGTCACCTGTGGCCAGTGGGAACTAACAGGTGAGTGTAGGTGAGTGTAGAGTGGCCAGTGAGAAGTCCAGGCAGTGGGAGAATATGGTGCTTTCCATCAGATGACACAGCCCCAGCTTTCTAAGCTTTCTATAATATAATAAGTTTGCTGAGACAAACAGAAACTGAATCTCTTTTTAAAACATTGCTTTTATAGCCCCTTCATTAATCTTTCTTTAAAAAAAAAAAGAAACTTGTGGTACTTAGATGCTGTCAGCCTTTGCCTCTTTGGAAATAACTCCTTTGTTTGCATAGGTAGAGTATAAATGTGAAGGTTTCCTTGAGAAGAACAGAGATACCGTCTATGACATGCTGGTTGAAATCCTGAGAGCAAGCAAGGTTTGTAAAGTCCTAAAGGGTAGTTAATGTTATTCATTGTGTACTTGACATGGACCTAGGTGTGTATCAAGAGAAAGAAACATGTGCGTGTTATCTGTCTTATAACAACAAATTGTGGCTTCTACATGCAAAAAGTCATCCTCATTAGTATAGTGATGAGTATTTTGTTTTGTTTAATTTTTATTTTTAGAGAGCTTTTTAAAATATAATTTAAAACTAATTTGTGCCCACACAATATATTAATTTTACAAATCTAAAATTTTATCTACTCTTAAAGTATTTGCAAAAGCCATATATCCTTCTTCAGCTTTATTGCATACTATCTATAAGAAAATACTAATTTTTAAATTATAAAAATGCTTTCAATACAGAAGAGACAATCTAATTTTAAAGACAATACTGTATAAGACTGTCTACCCAGAAAACAAAAAGCTTTCACAGGATATCAAGCTGGCCAGATGCTTCAGAAGATCTGGTACTAGTCCAAGATACTTAATCCCAACTGTATCATCCTTCTTCATTAGAAATCTAGATGCTACTCAAGGTGGTTTCATATACAAACAAAAAATGACCATTTTAGAATTGGCACTAAAATACATTTCTAGCTTCTGAAAGGATTCAAATTATCACTACATGCAAAATCAAAACTCAGATGTGCCAATGATAGAGAGGAAGGACAGCGAAGATGGTCATTTAAAAAGTCATGATTCACACTTTATACCTTCACTCACAAATATTTATACTGCACCTACCATACACCAAGCACTGTCCTAGACTCTGGGGAAATAGCAGTAAACAAGACAGATAGGGTTCCTGACCTCAAGGCGCTCACAACGCACAGGGAGCAACATACCTCCAAGATGAGAACAAATCGTGGTAGGAAGGGCTAAATAAATGCTCAAGAAAACCACAGCAAGGCAGAGTGCTGCTCTGTGAACGAGAGCTTCTTGAATCCATGGTGCTGTGTGCTGAAGTGTCACCGTAAGAGTGACTTCTGGCTTTTTCTTTTCCTCCTTAAACGTTTCTCTCAATTTAAGAATTTTAAGAACTCAAATTCTAAAAGTTTGAGAATAAGGATGTTTCATACACAGTCCTTCATTTTTTGTGAAGATTTGATTATCATACTTATTTTCCTTGTTTTTGAAGATCCCTTGTCCTTTGTTAATGCTCAAGTATTTTGACAATTTCCCAAATAAGCCTGAGCACTTCCCCTAATGGTCATAAATAAATCACAGGTCATGGAAACTTAAGTTATTAAATTGATTTATAACAGAGAATTCAATGTAGAAATAGGCTGTATTTTGTGTACCAAGTTAGTTGACGTAATTCACTGATTATTTACTCACCCCAGGCCAGCTTGGGGTCCAGCATGCTGAATTCCTCAAGAGGATTTCAGATTGCCATGAAGCACAGATGGGTCTCTCCACTAAACCCACAAGACATCAGAGGCCTGGGAATTTCAGATTCATTTGTTCCATGGGGGCTCCAGGATATCAGGCAAGAATTCTCCCCCAAAGGAGATTCTCAATGTCTGATTTAAAAGAAGAAAACATAAGGTCTTCTCCAAGAGATAAGGCATTTAAAGGAACAAGTGATGCAGAGTAGAAAATAGTGTCTTAAAAAAAGGTACAGATTAAAGATTAAAATAACTCAGAGGAAGTTGGAATTAATTCATGCTGGGACACCAGGAAAGGTATTCTGAAGGGAGTGGGGCTGGAAAATATTATAATAGAACCTGAAATAATGAGTAGGGTTTAGATAGCATCACCAACTCATTGGACATGAATTTGAGCAAACTCTAGGTAGGAGACGGTGGAAGACAGAGGAACCTGGCAGGCTACAGTCCATGTGGTCACAGAGAGTCCAACACAACTTAGTGACTGAACAACAGTTGAATCTGTAGGGCTGAGAATGTGAGATTAGGAGGGAAGAGATTCCGAGTGCAGAAGCAACATGAGCCAAGGCACAGAAGGAGGAAAATTATCTCGTTTTCTGACTCTTGAAGTGATACCCACATACAGACATTCACATTGTTTCCTTCCTACTCTCATTCCTGGGAAAGAAACCATCAGTCATCCCCAGTGAGGGTGATCCCCTTGTGGAACTGAGATTTGGCCGGGATTGTACTCTACCCACCTCTGGTTTAGACAGGTTGGGATTATGGTGACCTTTTCTTCGATTATACCAGCTAAGGACTGTGGGCAAACACTTTTGACATTAAAACCCTCTCTGTTCTTCCTAGTTTCATCTATGTGCCAACTTTTTTCAAGAAAATCCGGTTCCTTCTTCCCCATTTGGTTCAGCAATCACAGTTAAATCTGCAAAGCCAGTCATCAAGCCAAACAACAAGCATTTCCGGAGCACCGTGGGGAGCAAGGTACCCAGAGAGTGGCTGAGGGTCCAGCCAGGCTGAGGGCAGGGATCAGGGCTGGGTGGGACCATTCTGGGCCTGGACACTGTGCTGTGCTCAGTCATGTTGGATTCTTTGTGACCCTTTAGACTACAGCCTGCTAGGCTCCTCCCTCCATGAGATTCTCCAGGCAAGAATACTGGCGTGGTTTGCCACGCCCTCCTCCTGGGGATCTTCCAGACCCAGGGATCGAACCCATGTCTCTTTTTTCTTTTTTCCGAACCCATGTCTCTTATGTCTTCTGCACTGGTAGGCAGATTCTTTACCACTGCATTACCTAGGAAGCCATGGACACGGGCACTGAGCTTCTTCAAATCTAATATAAACGCAAAGAAGAGTAGTAGTGCATCATCATGATGCTTCCACCTCTAAGGCTGCACACCTGAGCAGACCGTATATTTGCACAATAAGCTGACTCACTAAGCCCTTGGCTACTGGGGAGTTTTGGACAGAGAACTGCTCTGTCCATCAAAGCAGGATACGCTGAGATAAACCCAGTCATAGACTAAAACTGTTCGTAATAGCTGTTTATGCATGAACTTCATTTTTCCTCTTCTTGAGTAACTTATCAAGGCTGAACCTCTTTTTTTAACTTTCTGTTTTATACTGGAGTATGGCTGATTAACAATGTGATAGTTTCAGATGAACGGCAAGGGGACACAGGCATACATGTACATGTATCCATTCTCCCCCAAACTCCCCTCCCATCCAGACTGCCGCACACCTTTGAGCAGAGGTCCCTGTGCTGTACAGTGGAGGCCCCTTTTTCTTTAACCTTCATCTAAGCGTTGTATTCAGTGCAGTGTCTGCCGCCTGACCTTGTTTCCTAGTTCCGCAGCTCTCTCTACTTGCTCATGGAGACTCTCAACGCCACCACTCCCCACTATGTCCGATGCATTAAGCCAAATGATGAGAAACTGCCCTTTGAGTAAGTGTGCTGCGACAGAGGGGGGAAGAACACCGAGAAAGCCGTCTCTGTCATGATGTTGGAGAATTTGCTTATAGTTGCCTAGAACTTTACTATTTCTGGGTTTTTAAATGATTCAAAACAAGTCTGCCCTCTACATCTAGCATTAGTTCAACCCCTCTGGCTAAGCCAGCTCATCTCCGGGATTAAGCAAAGGGGCTGGATCTTAAAGAGTTATTCTACGGCTAGAGCTTATGCAACTGAGAAAGCCAGAACATTTTCCTTGATGGTAAGAATTTGTATGTGTTTGTAGGAGAAAGGCTGTAGAGGGGTCTGAAGTTTTGCCTTCAAACCTGTTACGAGGTCTTAGGCTTATTCTCTGGGGCCCCAAGAGGAAGACCGGAAGCCACGATTAGAAGTTACAGAGGGTCTCTAATTACTGGAATCAAGTTACTATGTATCTACCAAAAACTTTTAAACATTTATTCATTCGAATCTAAAAACTGAAGCAGATTTTCATGATCTGTTTCTCCTAAATGTTTGTTATTTATTAATTGCTTTCTTACAATAATTTAAAGGGTTTTTTGTCAAGACATAAAATATTTGAAAAATGTTGTGGTTCAAAATTATAGTATGCACAGAACAACAGTTTGAATATAGACCTAGTGAATGCATTCATCTTAGCCCAAGTGATGACATACCATCATAATGAATAATGGTAGATTAAAGAAGTTACATATTTATGCAAGTACTTATATTCTGCTTCATATTTATTATTTTAATAACCTAAATTTCAATAGTTTACTTTTGATTGGAACTATTTCTCAAATGTCATACATTCTTTGACTATTGATTCACACTTGATAGTCTTTAGAAAGCTGATTTGAAACTCCAAAAAAAAAAAAACAACCAACTGGTCCTTTCCCTGTGTCCTCTGCGTGGCTTCTGAACTGTTTCACAGAGGTGATACCCTCATCGACATCCAACATGTATTTATTAAGTATCTGCTGGGCTTGGGGGTCGCGCAGGCAGATCCTGTTCCCCAGGAGCTCACAATGGGGGCAGGTCTGCTGCACTGTTTATGGGCCTGTTTATCAACTATGATGGTTTAACACGTGATCAAATCGTCCTTAAGGTTTGACTCCAAAAGAATTGTTCAGCAGCTGCGAGCCTGTGGCGTCTTAGAAACGATTCGCATTAGTGCCCAGAGCTACCCTTCTAGGTATGTTGTCAGTTCCTCATTGGGGGGAAAAGTGCCCAACTTCAGGTCTGTGCTGAGAACCAAGGGAAGAAAATGGCCTTGTGTTCTGTCAGATCTGTCCATAAGCTGTCCCGCTGTGCTGTGGGAAGGCCAGAGAGGGTGATAGATGGGCAGCATGTAGACAGAGGCCACTGTCCCCAGCCCCCACCCTATCTGTCCTAGTGAGGGTCACTTGCTGCCTCCTCAGGGCTCCTGGGACAGGGAGCTGGAGGGGTAGGGGGAGACAGTTGTTAAAATGAAGCATTAACAAAAGTCATCCAGGGAGCACACAAGTGTGCTCAGGTGAGGCTGGGGCGGTGTCCCAGGAGCTCTGGGTCAAAGGTCAAGGCCATGTCCCCGAAACAGTGGCAAGCAAGCCTGTGGGGTCCGCAGACAGCACGTGCTTTCCTCCAGCCCACCTCCTCCGGTCTGCCTTGGTTTTCCAGGTGGACATACATTGAGTTCTACAGCCGCTACGGGGTCCTCATGACCAAGCAGGAGCTTTCATTCAGCGATAAAAAGGAGGTGTGCAAAGTGGTCTTACACCGGCTCATCCAGGTCAGTCCTCCCTCTGACAATCGTGGGCTCCCAAGCACTTGCCTCATCTTTGCCTGTGTCTCAGGGCCGTAACTGTCATGAATGCCTGGGAAGAAAGCAGATGTGCCCAAGTTTCTGTGTGCTAAGGAGATCAGAGCAGACTTACTCGTGGGGCATCATCTCCCAACAGCAGGACTCACCTTCAGGGTCCCTACCCTCCCCCACCGTGTCCTCCTGTCCTGCTGTATTCTCCTGCAACCCAGCGACTTCTGTGGGCCTAACTTATGTTACACAGTCAGCTAGACAGTCACTAAGCCAGGTAGTGGCTCTCAGTGTGGATTTAGAAGGTTGCTGAAGCCATGAGTTTTGACAGAAAAGAGATGGGGGAAGTAGCTCTGATGGCCAGGAGAGGAGTGGTGTTCAGTTCAGTTCCATTCAAACGCTCAGTTGTGTCCGACTTTGCGACCCCATGGACTGTAGCACGTCAGGCCTCCCTGTCCATCACCAACTCCTGGAGTTTACCCAAACTCATGTCCATTGAGTCAGTGATGCCATCCAACCATCTCACTCTCTGTCATCCCCTTTTCCTCCAGCCTTCAATCTTTCCCAGCATCAGGGTCTTTTCCAATGAGTCAGTTCTTCCCATCAGGTGGTCAAAGTGTTGGAGTTTCAGCTTCAACATCAGTCCTTCCAATGT